AAGCTTTCCATAGTTTCATGATAGTTAAATATTTTATTATGAATTGGAGGTAAAACTTTGTATACGACTGTGGGTGAAATTTTAGGAATAGTATCTGGTATGGATTTAATTATTGATCGGTCTCTAAAGATTCTATTCAATCCAATGTTTTGTATATGCCTATCTGTAAAAAGGATTTTACATAACACACCAGGTATTTTATTTCGTACTTTATGAGGTTGTATTGAATGCGTAGGTGAAAATTTACTATTTATCAAATCGATTATAACATCGTAATATTGAGAAAGAAAACGTTCATTAAACACACATTATGCAAGAGCTAAATTTACCTGTTGCAGGTCTTTGTTTAGGCCTGAAATGTTTTCTAAATTATTAATTAGATTCAGGCCATAATCAACTCTTGATGGCATCCGATTTCTCCGACATTGAATAGATTAGAACGGTTCAGCCATATTTTGATTTAATCTAAAATTGGAGGAGCGAGACAGCCTCAAACATTTTTTTTATAGAATGTTTTTTATTTTGAAAATTATGATCAAGTTTCTTATAACAATTTCTTGTAATCAAAGTATTTTCATCACGGTTATTATAATCAATGTTTTTAAATCTATCATTGAGACGATGTGGGAAAATGATTTGTAATTTAGTTATCCAAGTTTCCTCTTTTGTGTTACAACAGGATAAATCTTGCCGTTAGTGAGGTGGCCTGAGCTGGAAATTTTTTTTAAATTGCTTGTACTCTATATCCAAAATCCTTACATGGATTTTGCTTAAAATGTTGATGAACAGTTTGTGTGCATTTTCACAATTTCCTATAGATCTATGATTACTAAACCTTGTTTTACATTATCAACTTGTTTCTCCAACATACTGTCTGTAATTTGTAGTAATTGCAAATCAATAAATATGGTAGCATTTACCAGTAACGGAGCTATTAAAAGTGTGGGCTTCATCGTAAACTGTACATAATTTACACTGTCTATAGTTACAAGCATTAACCTGTTAAGCGTGACGTTTTTAAAACGTTAACTACCCCCTATTGTGTAATTAATTAAGTGACGAAGAACTATGTACTATGTTCTAAGAATAGGTTGGGGAAAATACCTCCAAGGAATTATATTATGCCCTACACACAGTGAGTGGCAGTTGTCTAGGACGTAATATAACGTCCTACACATGCTGCGATCATGGGGGAATTTCCAAGGGATACCCCAAGTGACGAACAATGTTCTAAGAATAGGTTGGGGAAAATACCTCCAAGGCGTTATATTACGCCCTACAAACAGTGAGTGGCAGTTGTCCAGGACGTTATATAACGACCTACGCAGCCACTTCATCAGAACTACCTCCTAGATTCTTATTGGTGAGATATTAATTTTTGAATTTTTGTATGTCAATTGGATGGAGTGTGCAGACCAATCATTAACACACATTTCATTATTTTACCTTATATACTTTTGGTTCAGCTAATATGGTAGCATAATAAATAATATGGGCTATGGTGACATGGACATCAGGTTCCACTAGTATGATTAGAATGATAATTAACATTGATCATGGTGACAGCAGCATCTAGTTCAAGTGGTGTGGTTGGCCTAACTTTGTTTTTAATGATATGCTTAGTATTTTCTCAATTTGATTCTTGGCCGTAAGGGATGTTACAGCACAGACAATTTTTTTTACGAAATGTAACAGCACCCGTTGGAGTTCCAGCACTCTGTAATTCATTGTAACGATCCAATACATTAGAATACCAGGGCTTTCATTTTTCATACCAATCACTTACAGGGATTTCTTTTGGGATTTTTGCTTTTCAATTGTCAGTGAAAATCTTGGACTGGGATATCCACCTAGTCCATTTGCATTTTAGAAAAATTAATTACACTTGAGAGCTTAAGTATACTCAGCCAAATTAAAAACTTGACACTCGGGATTTTTGGGACTAGATTTTTAATATTTGGTTTAAGGCAACTATTTTAGTGTTAAGTTGTGCACAGACGACCTTGACATCAACAGAAAGCAAGAATACGTCTCGCCGAAATTCCTTGACATTGATAACGTTCGTGATGTCACAGTACCCCCCAAAATGAAATTCACAGATTTAGAGAACAATCGGAATAAAGTGTTTAGTAACGGTTGTGGCCTCCTCTAGCATCTCGTTCTGCCACACAACGTCTTCTCGTGGATCTCAGAACATTAGTAAACACTACCCCAGGAAGACGTCGCCACTGCTCAGCAAGAGCATGTTGAAGGTCCTGCAACGTCAGTGGTGGATTCACTTGCTGACGAACACATCGACCCAGTTCGTCCCAGATGTGTTCAATGGAATTAAGGTAGGGGCTAAGCGACGGCCAATCCAGGACTTGGACACCGGCATTTCTTAAAAAATTCTGGGTAGCAATTGCTGTATGGGGTCGAGCATTGTCTTGTTGAAACGTTAGTCCAGGCCTATGTCTCTGCATAAATGGAAGAACAGGCTGCAAAATCTGATCCCTGTACTGGACAGCATTTAAGTTCCCTTGGACAACAACAAGTAGAGAACATCCATGTGTACAAAAAGAACCCCAAACCATGACGCTGCCGCCAACAAATCGGTCAACTTCTCTGACGCATACTTGAGCGTAACGTTCACCTCGTCTGCGGTACACTCGGGCCCTTCCATCAGCAAATCTCAAAGTGAATCGAGATTCGTCACTAAAGACAACCGAATTCCACTGTCTTTGAGTAAATCTTATGTGTCTTGTGGCCCACACAAGTCCGTTACGGCGATGAAGAGTTGTCAATATTGGTCCATTATAGGGCCTCTGAGCTTGGAGACCAGCAGCCTGCAAGCGATTTCGAACAGTTTGTGCAGTTACCCTTCCACCAAACATCTCTCTACTTGTGGAGGTTGCAGGGACAAATCTGTTTCTAAGATGACGTAATCGTATTGCTTGATCTTCCTGGAGTGACATCACACATGGCGCTCCCGCCCTTGGGCGGTCGGCAATAGTTCCAGTTTGAAGCACTCTCATTCTAAGATTAATTATTGTCTGGCGTGAACAATTAAAGGCTCTTGCAACAGTGACCACAGACTGACCAGCCTACCTATAGCACGTAGACGTTCTACATTAGAAAGGCGCGGCATTTTCTAACAAAGATGAAAATAACAATTTTAATTTGTTTTTCCAGTTCAAGTTACGTGTGCGTGTTCAGTTTAAGCAAACTTGTATCGATTGACCTCACGAGTTTGTGTTTGCACATGTTTTTCATCTTTATATGCTCAAAAGTCACGTGATCCATGTGACTTTACAATTTTATGAAATTAAAGGCTTCTTACTACTTACTATCATTAGAAACACTTTAAAATTTATTTGACTTACCAGAAAAAAAAATTTGTTGAAATTCATCAGTGTCAAGTTTTTAATTTGGCTGAGTATATATAGGCATTGTTTGGGATGTATAATAAAACTACTGAGAAAGATAAATTTATAATTAAAAACATATAAATATTAATGCAGGCGCAAATATGAATCACACCACCCTAATTGTAAAACGACATGATGAGAAATTTGATTTCCTACTGTTCTGCATCAGTTGGGCAAATGAAGATGGCCATACACCATGTAGTGTTCATTAAGGGAAATAATGCATGGCCATGTGCATTTCCGCCTTCTCTGTTTCGAATTTGAGTTCTTTTCTGTGTAGCAATGTGTACACAGGAACTTAGTTTTAATTTCCATCCGATTGACCAAACGCTGATCTTTCCTAGGCCTGTCATCTTGTACAACTGTCAAAGGGAAAGAAACCAGACTGGAAAATCCTGAAGAATTTTCTCAGCAGCAAACACTGAGAACGATTTGGAACCACCTGGTTAATTAGTAAGTGCCTTACTCACCGAGCCAGAGTGGCTCCCTGACAGTTGAGTACAGTTACTGATCCAGTGTTGGAACAAAGCAGGTTCTGACAGTTGACAGTTTGTAGTAATTCATTAATTATTCTGTGTTATGTCAATAATATAGTTTTACCTGGTCAGATAAAAGATAGGTTGCATGGCAATGAAATACATGTCCATCCGCAGCCTGGTTGTTTGATCTGTTTACAAAATTTGTCGCCAAATAAATGCTTCAATTTGCTGTGCTCAGAAGAAATTTTCCAGATTCTCTGAAACTTTAAAAAGGAAAATCTATAACAGTTCTTACCTGTAGAGTGATTATATTGTTTCGATGACAACCCTGAAAATAAATAATGCTGGACCCTTTTGATAGTGTTCATTTTTATTACTAATCAATCAATCCCAGACAGTTTGAACATCCTATTTCAAGCTTTTAATAAAGGTCAATTACTCTGAAAATAATTGGTGTGTGACTTTGAAATGAAAAAACAAACTTTCCTCTGGATTGATTACAAGAGTCAGAGAGTGTGACAACAACATACAATCTACATTAACAAGAGGACACATTAGAATACTTTTTGTAGATTAACAGATGATCTGATTAAGCTCGAACATAAATAAATACTCAGTGATTGTGTAAAAAAAAAAAACATGTTTCCCATAATAAGCATGTATTGTTGTCAATCCAGTCCATGTTTTTTTCCAAGCTTAATGCCATCGTTTGGCTAGTGCTAAGAAGGAATTCTGTGGAGTTACTCAATTTTTTTTTTACCAAGCCATTGCCATTGTTGCCTGAACCTTGTAAATTCCTTACTGGTTATAAAGTTTTTGACATTTTTTTTTCTGCCAAGGTATGGGAAAAGGCCTATTTAGTTGGTTGAATTTGAAACTGAATCGAAATTCAGAGCAAAACTTAAACAGTTATTGCAGAATTATTGCCTCTCATCTTGAAAGAAGGCTTGACAATGCTATTTTTAAACACATATCTTTTACCTAATACTGCATTCTGTGTATTCTGGGTGTATCAATGAAAGTTGTTTTATACCTGAAAACATATATTCACCTTTAAAAGTATATAACATGAAATGTTTAATTTACCAACAAAAAAGCTTCTTTTACCCTACAGACAAAATCAACAGAAGATTTGGGACGATGTCTACAATTCCTAACACAATTATTACATGTAATGAGCAGTAGACCAAGCTTTAAAACAGATAATGTGGTTGGACCATTACTGCCATTCTGCATATCACTCTTACATCCCTGCCTGAAGAAAAATCTCAACATTACAAGTCTGTTACAAGAAATATTGAACCTTTTGGAAAAGCACAAATCAGTAAGGTTTTCTAATTTTTTTAGCCCATAATCCAAAAGTATCTAATGATCTTAAAGTTTTTTCTGGACAGCTGTTAGTGCAGTGAATTCTTTGTATCAATAGAGTTGTGGTCCCAAAGACTGGAAATTGTTAAAGCTCAACTTACAGAACAATGTTGCAATCCACTGATTTGACATAAGAGATTTTGAAGTAAATATCTTTTCTATGGCTGATCAGTAACCTTTCAATGCAAGTTCTGGATATGATGCAAATACAGGAGATCTGTTACCGAGTGAAGTAGAGAGCAACAACTGCAGTTTCAATGCCATTGTGAACGAATGAGCAATTCTATTTTAAAAGTTTTAAATTATTCAAAGAACATCCTAATGAATATTCCCACAAAGTATCAAAGCATTTTCATACATTCACATTCAGTGTTGGTGTAATATGTCGTCATTGCAGCGGTTGTCACGCCGTCAAAAATCTTCTCATTAACGTGATAGATGCTACATTTTTTAACAGATATTTTTTCAACTTTGGTTTGAAGCATTGGGGTCGTAAGAAGATGAATTCTATCGATTTCCCACGACATTCCATCCTGGAGATTCAGCATCTCAGTAATCCTTTCTTATAAGCTACTGTCTATTGTAGTCTTTTTTTTTTTTTTAGATGTAACTGCTGTGTAGGCATGTTTCCAGGATTTGCGTGGCTATATTTTTAAAAATCTGGTGTGAAGTTATCACCCCTTTTCCGTAAAGTTGTTAACATGATAGAGTCTAAAGATTTTAAAAGATTTTTTACACATATGGTGGGGCAAACCAGGGTTAAGAGAGGAGTTACCCGATTTTTCTAAAACTTTGTGTCCTCAATAGACGCAAAGTTTTCAACTGATTTATTTTAAATTTGGTGTGAAGCATTGGCTGTGTAGTTTTTAATGGATTATTTTCAATTTGCCCCCCTTAATGAATGTAATCTGTTAGACGTACTTGAATCTAAAACTTTCCTTTACTACAATTATCTCTTGTTTTGTCAGTCTACCCATTTCAGTACAGCCATTCATTGGTTTAAAGAATTTCAAATGATACTTCAAGAAATACGGATTTTAATTACTAGCATATTAATTTTCTCTTATATTTTATAGATTCCCTTCAAGGAAAACTGTTTAATTATATTAGCCGACTTACTTATGTTAATTGGACCTGATATAACAGCCAATGTTCTACTTATATGTAAGTATTCATTTAATCACATCTACATGCAGGTTAAATCTAATTAAATTATTATGTTGTTAATACATCTAGGATCTTTCCACAGACTAAGAATCATTATTCTATCTTAATAAGATATAAGATAGATTAATGAATGATATGAAGGTGATGGAAATTATACATGATTTGAGGTCTAATTACTTGGGGACAATTGCTGGTCAGGTCAAGATAGATTAAAGTTATTGTATTCTATTACAATTAATAATTGAATTATCAGAATGTAGGTTTAACTCTTTAACCTACAGACTTCCTAATACCATCATATAATGTACACAATGATGGTTATTGATCATTGATATCTTAAAAACAGGATTAAATATATAATTACAAGGTTAATTTAGCAAAGCATTTGCTCCCAATTTTTATATGTAGGTTGAATTTTGTATTGCCTGTTATCATTATGTTGTTACATGTAAATGCCTTTGATTTCACTTTAGATAATTAAAAAGATTAATTTCATGGCATTCAATCTTTTTAATAGAGAGTGTTTGTGCAAGCTATACAATCATTTCCACATTACCAACAGAAACAGTTTGACATATCCATGATCTTTTGTTATTTTGTACACCTTTTACTTGAAACAATATTTTCTTTCAAATATAAATCCACAATACAATTTGGTTTATTCAAATTACATAAAATAAGACCTTGGGGATACAATGATTTTGTTACGACTAATCATTCATTTTATTTAGCAGTATCAGGGCTCATGCTGTTGGTCGCCAAAGTCACAATTTGCGATAAAAATATGAAATTGGCGATTAAAATTTGATTTTGGCGATAATGTTTTGCGGTACTGGCGATTCTTTTTGAGAACTGGTGGAAAAATCTTAAAATTCTAATCGTATTTATCCTGGATTAATCATTATTGAGGTTGATCGCGGGATACTATAAATTAATCAACTGGCCGATAATCCGGATCGCGTCAATGAGTAATACTATCAGTTGTCTTGGATTAATGATTAGTTGATTGATAATTGTGTCAAGTCACAATTTACTCCTAATGATTAATCCAAGCGGTGATTATTTGATGTTTCGTGTCGTCTTAAAAAAATGATAACATGTAAACAAAATGGCGGACAGTTCCTTGCAAAGAGAATTAAATATTTTGATAGCTGAATTCGTTTACAGTGGCTTCATATCTATCATGGAAAAATACAGGCATGCCTATTCAATATCATTATTTCAAATTATAATATCACAACTGGTTGAAAACGTAAGAAAGAGTTGAAAAGTGACGATTCTTGAGTGAGAAAAAAATTTGCCATTTATGTCATATTACTGTCGCCAAAGTGCTCTAAAAGTTAACGACGGGTATATTGTAAGCATCATGAACATTTTTTTTTATATAAAAATTATCATCCATTTTGGCGGAAAAAAATCAAAAGCCAGTGTGAGCCCTGAGCAGTATGGTTGATTCTATTGTGTTCCAGTTGTCTGCTTGCTATGACATAAAAACAGGTTATTTCATTTCTTACATTTTTACTTAAAAAAGCTTCTAAACATGTTCCAGGACAGATTTTAGTAGTAGTGTTCAGCTGGTTGATCAAGACAATAACTTTCATAATTCTCTATTGCAAATCAGTTTATGTGTTTATAAAGCCTGGGAACTTAATGTAGGATAGAGTTCATTATGGATGATGACGACAACTAGTTGCTGTTTAAATTGATTTTTACAGAAACAATTATAAAAGATATCCAAAATATATTACTGCACTTCACTGCATTTCAATTCTTTGTATTAGACATGCAAGTTTCTTGAAAGCACCCTTATACTAGCACACTGCAACACATATGACTATCTGATTAGTGCAGAAAAGAAGTACATTAGACCTCATTTCATTTCATTTACTTAAAAGCACACATTGTCAGTGGTGCATTGAAAAGTGTCCAGTTATTTGATGTTAAACACCATATCATTTCATTTATTTGAAAGCAACTTAGGAGCAATAAACAAACCCATCACACCAATAACGAAACTTGTTACAAATCATTTTTTTTAATGTTCTGCTTATATTCTGCTCATTCAACAATATTTACATCTATTCTAATTGCAGAACAACAACATCTAATACAATCGATACCAGTATTTCAGATGTAAGGATCACCATCAGAATAGTTTGGTCTTAAAAATCTCTATAATAAGATAATGTAATTTGTTTTGGTGAGCCCATGGCATTATATAGGTGTTAGAAGTTCAAAGTTAAATTCAGATCAAAACCAAGTATACTGAATGCTTTCGTTTTCTAGAAGTGTTTTTATGGCTTTGCCATGTTAGATGATCAGACACTTATTGATGGTTATTAAGAGCTGTAAGACACACATTTTCAAATACATTCTGTCCAGTGACATTACTTACTATTGAACTGTAACCTTAGAGGAAATGTAGAAGTGGCTAGAAATGAGATAGACTGGGAAGTAAAGAATTAAGTATAGTCTGTTCAAAGTACGGAAATGAAACAAGGATCATAAGAATGTTGACCAAAAAAATTAAGCTCGAAAGAAAAAGTTATAACATTGTAACAATTACACTACAAATGTTTGACATCAACTTCCAGTAAATCTCTTCAATGTATTCTAGTAATTAGCAGATGTCACTTTGATGTATGTTGTAGCCATCATGGAAGTGGATCAGCCATTGAACGATTCAACTATTGACTCCTTTCTTTCTGTTGTCAACCATTTACATTTCTTTCATTTCCGCTACAAACTTGTTTAGTAGTAAATAGTAAATCATATTTTTGATTTGTCAAGAAATGTTAATTCTCCAACCTCCATGATTTTAAGTACCGTAGATTCTTATTATGTGAGTGAAACTTTATATCAATAGATGTATGGTGGCAGTCATGGATCATAGGCAAATCATCCTGGTCAGAATATCTATTATATGTTGGCAGGAGGTGGGGCGTTTGGCCGAATGCTGTAATGCATGTGGCTTAGATCATAAGGTCTATCATTGAGTTGTGTGGCATGGTTTTATCCCACACTTGAGGTTTTCTCCAGTTTTTCTGGTTTCCTCTCATTGCTAATGACCTCCTACACGCAAGTGAATTTAAATTGTACCATATGTTAGTGAAAGTTAAACCCATTATTCTCTTACTTTAAGTGTCACCAAAAAACAAAACTAAATATAAAATAGAATTTTATTTCCTATGTGTAATCACTATATAGGTGCTTCTGTTAGGTTGTCAAACCAAATCTTTTGGTTAAAACTTCAAGGCTCCTTGATCACTTGGTATTTATATCATAATGCAAGTTTTTAAGGCTTTTATTTCTAGGGAGGGGGGGTGGATGGCTGAATGGTTAGCACGTGCGCACTATATCATAAAGCCTGTCATTGAGTCAACTGGGGTGGTTTCGAATCCCCGGTTGTACGTGACAAGGAGTAGGGTCGCCTGTCCAACCTCGTGGGTTTTCTCTGGTTCCTCCGGTTTCCTCCCACTGCTAAAGACTCCTACGCGCAAGTGAATTATTGAAATAAAATTGAACCATATGTTAGTCCCGAAATGACTTAGTTTGTGTCGAGTGGACGTGAAACCCTATTTCTCTCTCTCTTTTTATTTCTAAGACCATGGTCTTTTGTGAAGGAAATTACAAATATCCAAATGAAGCAATGTTGGTTCACTAAGATCTTAAAGGTCCTGGATCCCTTTAAGAGAAATGCTGAATCATGTGTAATTTCAATAAATAGTTATTAAAACATGCATGTGTAAAAGGCACATGAATAGTAATCATGATTGTAAATTCTTCTGCTATCTAGGTTATAGGAGATTACAAAGTCATTATCCCTTATAGATTGAAGATGCATAAAGAAAGTCACTCAGTTTAATTTATGTTGTATGGATATATACCAAATATGCAATATATTCTCTAATATGTAATAACACTATGATAATTTGTCAGATGTACCACAATTTCTTAATAACATCAAATTGGACTCTTACAGCACACAATATACAGTTGGTTGAAATATTGGGGATGCCCAAAAATATGAGATGAATTTTGTATCAAGTTTCAACAACCCACTATGTATTCAAAATGGGTGACAAGCAGATTTCTTCCGAAAGATAATATTTTACCTATTCTTTTTGATGTTGTTCATGTTGGCAAAGTGTAACAGGGGGTTTGATATATTTTATTGAAAATACTGAAGTTACCACTGATAATCCTTGAACTTTTCTTATTCAAGAGGAATGCTGAGTTCTTAGGAGGTGCATTAAAGTTTGAACCTGGTATATTGGTGTCACCTATATCAATCTGTTGGTGTACTTTTGATTGGAATGGCTGTCTGACTTTGTGATAAAGACGAGATTGATCTGCTTGATAACTGCTCGTTCATAATTGTATGAATTAAATTTCTGGTTTATGTATATTTTTCTTTCTTCAGGTAAAACAATCATAGAGAAAGATATTTGTTATATTGTTAGAGGAATGTTAGTACTACCAGTATTACAGCTATTGTCATCACCTACAGAACAAAGCAACTCAAATCATATTCAAAACTTGGCATCAAATGTTTTAACATTGATTGTGGAACTACCAGTACAAAATATCCCAGAAGGTCATGAGGTATTGCTTCATATTGATTTTTACTAATTTCCTTATTTCAGATATTATAAAACTAGGCAAAATATAGATTGTAGAATTCATTAGTTCTCTTTCATGAATTCCTTTCTTCATTTGGACGTTCAACCCCATGTTATTCATTCATACTTTCATGGATACATTGCAGTATACTAAGATTTTATGGATACAAGTATTGTACCTAATCTGTGGCTGTGGTTATTACTTGGTTTATAGATCACATTATTTCTCTGACTGTAATAGCTGGACATCCATAAACCCCAAATGTTACGATGATTTCTAATGCCATATATAGGTAGATATCACTGATGGCAGTGACTATAGCCATATATATACTTGATGGTTGCTCATCAGACAAGTAGACATTATCAGTCATAAATCATTCCATTTATCTCTATCAAAATATAATATATTCTCATCTTATTTAGATGTTCAGAAACTGTCTCAAGTCAATCGTTAACTCTATTATGTATATATACATGTGTTAACAAACATTGACATAGTTCGGGGACTTCTGGTGTAAGTGAACCAAAGAGTCTACCCCATAGCTTTCTGGCATAAACAATTTATGTTTTAAAGGGGACTATTAAAATGAGTTTGTTAGTCTGTGTATCTGAAGGCCTGTCTGTTATTAGAACACAATGATTCTGCTTCGTCCAATTATAAGCTGGAATGCTCAAACTTGGTTTGGGTGTTTAATATTAGGAGAATGCATTGACTGAGATTGATGAAGAACATTTTATGTATCTTCCAAAACATGTCCAAATGTGTGGGATGCTGATGATTGATTCTTATTTTTGCCTATATAAATTGGTTTAATGTCATAAATGCACATTTCCCATCACATTCAAATTTGGAAATGAAATTTAAAAACAATTACCATAATTTTGGGAGGTCTTTTCATAATATGAAATATGTTGAACAGAAAAGGTTTTCTGATAATAACTTTGTTGTATATTATACATGTTGTTGTGTCGATTTAAACTATAAATGAAAAAATGACTATTATCTGTTTAATATCAAACAAGATTATTGGAAGTTATGTGATAGATTCAGGTTTTCTTGACAATTATGCAGATTGTTTCTGTCAATGTTTAAGATAATGTTAAGAAATTGTTGGTTTCATAATTCATATTTTAGACTGAATATAGTTGATTTGAACCTCACAAATTTAAACAAAGTGTCTGTTTATTTGTATTATTAAACCTATGATGCACATACTCATTTCAAGTGAGATTTGATAGTGGTTGTACACTTTGATAGTCTGTTTATCTTCCAACATTAAAATTCTAATGATAATAATAATCAACATCCGCTTTTGAGAGTATTACCGACGTAATACACGCCCCCTGCCGACCACATCAAATGTTACAATGAATAATTTTATGGAATTTTAATTGGTTTAAAGGCTCAATACCACTCTTGTTGTAACTGAATAATATGTCCCAATCTTTATTCTGGTCAACAAATTGTACTATTTTACAATATTCCAATTGATGATACAAATTTCATCTTAACACACCTAATTTAAAAAAACTGGAAAAATTCAACTAAATGATTTGAAAAGCCTGACGTAAAGCTTTTCAAATGTGACTTGGATTTAAAAATATTTTTGAACGCTCTGGACAAGTAAAATAGGATTTAATAGATAATTTACACAACAGGTAAGACACTTACACATCTAGTACTTAGAATAAGGCTATTTTTTATTTTCTGGAGCTGTCAAGCCAGCAAGAGTTTTATTGTCCCTTTAAAATCAACAAAGCCAAAATTCAGTAAAAAATAAATTATGGAATTACACAAAATTCAGACTTTTGTACCAACCCCTATCGGTTAGCTTTGTTTTGTTCGGGTGGGTTGAGAGGAGACTTTTTCCTTGTCAGCAATTGAATTCCAACTGTCAAGGGTTATTTTACGTGCACGCCCAAGGTGTACACTGGACCTTGGTTTGTTTGCCCCATCCGATCGATTAGATGCTTCTCCTTGCCATGTTCTCAGTCCTGCACTTTTTAAGGAAGTAATTATATACTATATCTAGTAATACAAAATACCTTAATTCATGTCCTGTAATTAATTCGGTTTTGTACGAACATTTGAGTAGTCAACTTTTTGGATGAATTTCTATATTTCCAGGTACCTTGTCAGTATTTAAATGGTGACAGTAGAGTTTATAATATGTATGTTAATCTTGCACATGATTTTACTAAAGATGTAAAAGCTGCTGTTGATTGGCTTCAGAATGTGAAAGATTATTTAACTAACCTTAAATCTGTACCTTTAACACTATCAAATATGGTATGTGCACTGATAGTGACATCCAGCGATCAGACATGCATACAGTTAAGTCTTACACTGTTGGTGGAAATTGCCAAGAAAGATAATACTCAGGTACTTGTAATACACTTATTATATGTTCATTATTTATACTACCGTTATATGACACTTAATAAAAACACCTACCCTGTTTATATTAGATTTTATATTATTTTAATTCGGATAATATCTGATTTATTTATAGTTTTATGCGGTATTATTCTGTGGTTAAATTGCTATACGATACATTGTCTATATTTCAGTCTGCCAACTTTTTACCATTGTTGCTGTATCAGATCGGTAAAGAGAAGGATGCAGAGATGAGATTGATAATATTGGACCACATACCAGCCATGGCTAGACACAAGGTACTTATAGGAAATGACCTGTTTTATGAAATATGATCAAGACCTTTAATAATAAAAACACAGTTATGGATTTAATTGTCTTTGAAGTGGGGTATATGAATTGTCAAAAGGTTTCTTCTCCAAAATTTGTTTTATTTAGTTAATACAAGGGCTGACTAAAAAGTTCTAAGTCTGAAAAGGATAGATCAATTGAGTTGAAACAAATTTTTGCCACCAACAAGTACAATCATTGAATGAATCAGAGACTTAAGAACGGCAACTGTAGTTTTATTACTGTCTTCGTACCAGACCATCTTTTGAACCTACCCATCAAAATCATCTCCAGAAATGGACAAAACTGGCTACAGGGCAGTCATCAATTACCTGCAACTGAAAGGACTAACCCCAACACAGGTCCATGCCGACATGGTCTCCACTTTAGGGGATAATGCCCCTTCTTTTTCCACAGTAAGCAAATGGGCTGCAGAATTTTAAGCTGGAAGGCCATCAACAGCAACCATTCAAGAAAACATTCACAGATAGGCTTAGAACTTTTCAACGTGTTTTATTTTGATTAAAAATGTTCTGTTTTACTTCAGATTATTTGTTTCTATCCTTTCGGGACTAAATGGTCTTTTGATTTTATAACTTTTTGACGGGATCAAATAATAACCAAAACTCATTTTGAAATATGTTTATATATCACATGAGAGGGAGTACATGCAGGATATGAATCTGACGCAGATAGAGATTAGTACATTTAAGTACAGTTTAGATATGGCATTCTTTAATGTCAGCTAATGTGATTGGCAGTTTTTTTTTTTGTTATTTTTTTTTAATGTTCACTGTAAAAAAAAGTACAATGACATTGTCAGTGCCTGGAAGAAAGAATTAGTTAATCACTTTTGTGGTACATGTATATATATGTTGATCCCTGTGCACTTTACTAATAGAACCAGAACATGTATATTGTTTAATGGCTTTTTCATGTCTATAAAAATTCAGTTGATAATTGAAGCATCACCTATGATAAAGAGATGTAAGATAAGAAATGAAGTGGGGTTTAGCGACCAACTTTTCTGCACAGACTTGGCTTATGAAGACTGGCAGTGTGGGTCATTCCATATCAACTGGACCAATGGTGGGATCATGACCCCCTCCCAAAATATTATAAAAAATATATGTTATAGTATATGGCCTTAAACTAAGAAATCCAAAATTTTACCTCTTAGGTTCGAAACTCACTGAGATATGGTCATTTGAAACTAGGGTACGGAAACGAATCATAAATACAGTAATTTTTTTTCAGGTTTTCGGATGCTTTAAACTCACATTTCTAATAGGAATAGGACTCTCTAACTTTGTAATCTAAGACAACATTTAGTGTAGATTATGAATTTATCATCACACTCATTGTCCAGTGCATATTGTTCACGCCACCAGGTAGCAAAATGTGGAACAAATGAACTATTCACTTTTATTTTCAGGATTTCCACAGTCTCTGACAAAGTCACTATTGTATACACAAACTCCAAAATTAGCATAGTTAATGTCATTTTGTCTTATATCAATTAACAAAAGATTCTAAGTTGATGGGATATATACTTTTCCAAATATTCAGTCTTAAATTCAATGCACACTGAAAATGTACAACATATACCCATTTTCACCTTCAATTTTGGCCATGTGGGACAGAGGTTAAAATTCTGAAAAAGTCCATCTTCTGTATTTGATGGCTTATATTTCTAATTGGCACTTGAAATCTGTGTGGTGATGAAGTTTTATTGGCTATTATCAAAATTGTTGACTTTTCACGTTGATTTTAAGATAACTTAATTCTAATTGACCTATACTCATCAAACCTGTCTATTTAAAGTGACTTTTTGCATATACATTGTATTGTTCTAATTATACGCCCACATATTCATGTGGACGTATATTGTCGTCGCCCCTGTCCATCCGTCCACAATAGTTTGTGAACCCTCTACAACTCTGGTGCTGCTGTGCCCCTGGGGAAGGGGCATGCACCAAAAATAATAATAGTCATCCTTTGGGCATAAGGAATATATATGAATAGTTCTCAAGACAATCCATTAAAGGGCACATAAGATGGACGACATTACTTTTCGGTACGTATAGCCATTGGTTACTATTAGAGCGGGAGCCCAGGGGGTTAACCTAGTCCTATATGGTATCAATGCATGTATATCTGGTATCATCAGAATGTAAGCCAACCTAGCTGAAAAGTGTACCAATTTTTTCCTATATGTTATCAATGCATGTATATCTGGTATCATCAGAATGTAAGTCTGCCGGGTTTCCGGTGGTGGGTGTGGTATTCCAGGCCCAAAATGCCATGAACCCCAACTAGGCTAGATTAGCTCAAAAGTGTACCACATGAGAATCGCACAGCAGTGTACCGTACATCTTCAGGTGTTACAAAAACACTCTAACAGACATTTCTAGTGGTGGGTTACCCATGACAGAGCTATGTAATTGTCAGACATTTGTAGTGGTAGAGTATCCCTGACAAGAGTTTTCTAATTTCCAGACCGCAGCTAGGCTAGATTAGTTGAAATCTTTACCACCTAAAACAGCTTTGGAATTGTTCAGTACCACTACAGGAATCATGAATGAATGTAAGAATTATGTACGATATTTTGTTGTATTTAAGTTTAATTTGTCTCTAATTATTCTGTACATTTAGGTGTGTATTGGACCTATATTGAAGACCATTCTGATGATTGGCAACTCAACTAAGTTACGTGCAGTGGCTATACGATTATTGACACAACTTTGGCAACTTCAAGACAGATGCTTCCCACATTTAATGAAGTTACTCACAGACAAGTCAAACACTTGTTTACATTCAGATGATGTCATAATCGCTCAAGCATCTGCTATACGGCATGTCTGTCAATTACGGTAAATTCTACATTCTTAAATAGATATATAGACCGGGGACTTTTAAAATGGGTTCATCTGTCTGTCTGTCACACATTTTGGGACACAATAGCTCTCCTTCTAATTGAGCTAATATGTTCAAACTTGGTGTAGTTTTTTTTTTAGGTCAATGCCTTGATGGAATTCGAAGATGAGCATTTTCTGCTTAGGGTAAGCAGAGATAAGCAATTTGATTGGTTGGTGCTTTGGGACATGATAACTTATTAAGCGAGATTGATGAAATTTGGTGATAGTTTCATTACATCAATACCTTGACTAAGTTCGATAACGAGCATTTTCTGCTAAGGGTAAGCAGAGCGATAAGCAATTTGATTGGTCGAGACTTTGGAACACAGTAACTCTCATTCTAATTGAGCTAAAATGTTCACACTTGGCATAGGTGTTTATTAGGTCAAAGGCTTGATGGAGTTCAGAGATGAGAGTTTTCTGCTTAGGGTAAGCAGAGATAAGCAATTTGATTGGTTGATCATTGGGACACAATAACTTTAGTTCTAATTAAGTGAAAGGACACTTGGTGTATAGTTTTATCACATCATTACCGTGACTAAGTTCGATAATGAGCATTTTCTGTTCAGGGTAAGCAGAGAGATAAGCAATTTTATTGGTCAAGGCTTTGAAACACAATAACTCTTTTTCTAATTGAGGCAGAATGTTCAAACTTGGTGTAGGAATTCTTTAGGTGAATGCTTTGATTGAGTTCGATGATAAACATTGTCTACTTACTGTAAGCAGAGCTAAGCAATCTGATCTGTTGATGCTTTGGGGCACGATAACTTTGGTTATAATTAAGTGAGAGTTGAGTATAGATTCATTATATCATTACCTTGACTAAGTTCGATGATGTGAATTTTCTGCTTAGGCTAAGGAGAGATAAGCAATTTGATTGGTCAAGACTTTGGAACGTAACAACTCTGCTTTTAATTGATGTAGATGTTCATTAGGTGAATGTCTTGACTGAGTTTATTGTTCAACATTTTGAGCTAAAGCCAAGCTGAGCTAAGCGATTTCATTCGTCGATGCTTTGGGACAAGATAACTTTGATTCTATCTGATAGAGAGTGATGAAACTTAGTGTATAGTTGATAATCAGTTTGATTGCTTGAAAAAAATAAATGTTTGATTAATTAATATGTGTCATCTATTTATTTTGGTATTTCGGCTTGTTTTATTTAAGAATAGCAAATGAGGTAAGACAACATTCGTCTTATGATATATAGATGTAGTTATTGTGACGAATATTGATTTGGCAACTGGTTGTGGAGGATACCTTGAAGAACTGATTAGATAATTTTGTCTAGTTCATTGAATCAGAAAAAGAGCAACAAGTCGTGTGTACATGACATTCCAGAATATCTCTTTGGAATCTATTATTAGCCTATCAAAATTCTGTTTAATCACAGCAATTAAATAAATCGATATGTATGTTAGCACCGATGGCTAAAGGGTTTGGGTGTGGATTCACTTTAATTTCAAGATCCATTCATTAAGACCTGGGTCCAGGATTCAAATTCAGTCTTTCACATAAGTATAAGTGTTTTCCAATACCTAAGTTCACATAAGTGTAAGTGTTTACTTAAATCTAAGTTCACTTAAGTGGAAGTGTTTACTCAAATCTATGTTTACTTAAGTGGAAGTGTTTACTCAAATTTAAGTTCACTAGAATGTAAATGTTTACTAAAATCTAAGTTTTATTCTTAAAAACTAAGTAGTAAGCGTTTGTTGTATTTTTGAGTATGACACAGATGATTGTTGATATCTGGGGCTGCTCAATATAAGTACATGTATATCATTTTCTTTAGGCCTGAGGTACATGGGGAAGACTTGTTATCACCTGTGTCAGATATACTAAATAAATGTTCTGATATTCATATGGCACCAGCTGCAGCTTTAGCTCTAGAAGCTTTGTATATGATGTGTGAAGCTGAGGTAAGGAAAATACCACTGTTATTACACATTGTACAGTTGTAGAAGTTTCTATTTTCTTGAAAATTAACTGGTGTCTCTTTACCATAAAAAAACACATATAAAACACACACTCTGAGGGAGGGGTGAGTGCTAACTCTACCTCTTTCAATGCAAAAAAGATCAATGTCTGTGTTGAAACGTGCCGTAAATACAGCTCATTTATTGATTCAAACTAAATATATTTGTTGGGATTCATAAAAATATCATAATGCAGTCATAATGATACCAATTCGAAGATGCATGTTAAGAAATATACACTTTGAACATGTGTATAAAAACATTGAGACATCTTTCATTACTGTCGTCATCTAGCATAGTTCATTTCTTAACAAATTTAATAATAAGAAAATTAACAAGAGACAAGGTTTAACAAATAAATACTGTATGCCTTTTATGTCCTTTAGGTGAAATTGCATTTGATATCAAAGAACCTTATGATTTCTTTTCACATATACTACAATAACTTTGGAATTAGCCGTTGATCAGCTTTAATAATCACGCTTTGATCATTGCCGTTTTTTCATTTTTTTACGAAAAGGCTAGATTACTTAGCAGTCCATATTTTTATTTTTTAGGTTATAGATATTAAGTCAGCGTGGTCTCTATTAGCCGTTAAATTATCAACAGACACCAGGTTAGAGACTTGTATTTTGATGAGCTTTCAAAGAAGGGCAGGTGGAAACACTAATCTCCAGGCAAATTTCTCTCTCCATATAGATCTAGCATTACAGATTGAACCATAATAAATTATTTATAAGCTTGTAAAATGGTTATAGTATTGTGTAAATGAGGCATTAAACCACATTTCAATCTTTTTCAAACAAATTTAATAGTGCAAATTTCATGGGTTTTTTCAACAAAATTATAATTTTAAATAAATTTCGTTGTCTTTGATGTGGAAGATTAACCAATGTAATGGTATGTTTTAGTCCAGCTATATTTGAGGTATGCATGCAATCATCGGAAAAAATCTATAGAGCAACAGAAAACAAAAACAAAAACCAGTTGAATATAATACATGTCATTCAGTTCCAATGTATGGGCTCCGAAATCATCTCCCTGGTGTGCCAGTCTGATCTGTATAGAGTGGAGGCCATTGAAAGTATAAAAAAAAAAATCAATTCAGATCTGTATCTTGAGCAGATTGATGATAAATATGTCTAACCTTTAAATATATTTGACATTATGTAATTGTTTTACATATTTGTTATAATTATTAACAATATTGGCCTGATGATATTCAAACAGAAAGCACTAACCACGAAATTAGTTGTCAATGTCTTTCTTAAAATTTTTTTATTTATATACATGTATTTACTGAGAGTTGTACCTTTTTGTATTTTATGTACTAAAATACATTTTTAAAAAAAAAGTTTGTACAGTTAAAAGATTAACCACTTTTGCTTCTTTGTTCTGATATATGGATATATATCAAATTATAAGCTATCTGTCGGAACTTTAATAAGCATCTTCAGTGGGTATAATGTGTACCGTATAAATAATTATACACAAGCCATGCATTTTTACGCGCAAGTAGAATAATGGATTACGGATGACGAGTAAAATATAATAAAAGGTTTTTAGATAAATAATACATACCAGGAAGCTTGTTACTTTGTCTTCCTGGTACGATTTCAGTTTATAGAAGTAAACAGTTGAAATAAATGCCAATAGACCAATTCTATAATCTGGCTATAAACGTAATAGTATGCAGCTATAAGGGTATTACAAACCTTTATAAACCCTTCATTAGATAAATGCATAAATAAATAAAAAATGGTCCCAGGTAAAAAATTCTCCACTTTACTTCATTCTGACATACATTAAATCATATAATCTAGCTGTCTGCCCTCTATAGGCGTCTTCAGATATTAATAATGTATACATTCTTAGAACTATAGATTTCCATGACAATGGATTATATATAATATTAGGTAATAAATGTCTGAAGAGGATTCCTCTTAAAACAAAAATATCCAGATATATTAATAGATAATGCAAACCAAAGAGTATTAACACTCGATCAAAGTGTATTAACACTCCATACGATCTCAAATAAAAGGAATGTTGCTTTAGTTGCTACATTTAATCCATCTCAGGAAAATGGGAAATCCATTATTGACAATTACACCCATATCCTTAAAAATAGCCCTGAGGTGGAAAAAATATTGAGAAAGACAAGTGTCATCAATAGTCTAAAGCAACCTTCCAACTTAGCTAGATTAATAACATCTTCGAAATATGATTTAGTCGCATCGGTACCAGCAGTAACGAAATGCTATGACCCTAGATGCAAAACATGTGAAATCATCATTCAAGGATCATCCATTAAGATAAATGTGAATTGTACATTTTATGTTAAACAACCCATGAACTGTCAATCAAACAATTGATTAAGATTTTGTGGGGTTTTGTGAACTTTGTTTTATAATTTATATAAAATCTAACTTTTATCTGTTACAGGCCAGCCATAATAGAAAAAATGTGTGATTTGTTTGGACTTGTACCCAGTTTATATGTGAATACACCAGAGTATGATGTATGATAGTTTATTCCATTATTTAATATCTTACATAAGCTTATGTATATGATGACCATCATATGAACATAATTATACTTCATATGATGAACATAATTATACTTCATATGATGAACATAATTATACTTCATATGATGAACATATACTTCATATGAATATATACCCCATATAGAGTTCAGGGAGCAGTCTTAGATATTGTTAGACACCATAAATGAAAGTGGACTTAAGGAAGAATATCAAATACCAATACATGAACAAATAGCCTGCTTATCTTATTCCAAAGTTTCGGAAATGATTTGTTGAAGAATTTCATTGTTCAATTGTATGATTGACTTTGTAATTGCAACGATAATGTAGCACTATAACTTTGTCAAGTATATAGTATTTGAAAAGGACAAGATTAATAGTTTCTATAGGTCTTTCACACAGAATTAAAAAGTTCATTCCATCAAATATATCTGAGACTCCTCCTTTAATGTGAACATTACATTTCTTCATTTCTAAAGAAAACAACTTACAAATTAAATAAATTCTCTTTTAAAGATTGATTTATTTTTCTTCAATCTAAAGCTAATTTCAAACAAACTTATAAAATTGGCAAGTTCCGGCATTGACATATCTACATAATTCTTTTTTTGTTTTTCATTCTGCTTCCTTGTTTCTGTTGTATAAAATTTAGCAATTCATGAAGAATATCTTGGAGAAGTTGTGGGTGTATTGTCAAGATACCAACCCAATTATTGTGGGTTCATCTTATCAAGCTTTAGCTTCCTACAGTTTAGACAACTTTTATTTAGATCATTTACCGTATAATGTAAGTTGGGGTATGATTTATGATAGTTAAGGGATTCCATTAAAACCATTAACATGAAATCATATTTTCTCATACAGGGTTCACACTGGCTTTCAATTTTTATATAAAAAAATATTCATATATTTTTTTGCCGCCAACTGCTATATTTTTATCTGCCAAAAATGTATGAAAAGAAAGAACAATGTTTTTTCTTAGGTGGACTATTATAAAACAATTACCAGTACACAAAACACAACAACTTACAATATCCTTCTTTATATATAATACATTAGCCCTGTTTTGAAATGAAATACTTTTAGTATTTTTGAACAATATATTTTCATTATTTACATTAAATAGTGTAAAAAATATGGTATATCAAGGTTGTGGACCATCTAGAGTCCACAATTTTGATGAAACTTTGAATTTATGTTTATATCACAAAGATCTTGGTTCCTTTCGATAATTGCACATTCGAACGTAACTTCATAGATTATGGCCCCTTATTGATCGAAAAATTGCATTTTTAGCTTGTGGACCCACTATAAGTCACAATTTATATTCAGTTTTAAAAAACGTTTAAATATATCGCCTTTACACATCAATGAAGGTCGAGTTCAAATTTCGTAAAAAAAAAAAGAATCTGACCCAAAGTGCTAGACAAAATGGCCGCTCCTTGTACGCAAATAGTGTAAAAGTATGTAATACCAAGGTTGTGGACACTCTTAGAAGTCATAATTTTTGTCTGATTTTGATGAAACTTGAAATGTATGATTATAATCAAAAGAACTTGATTCCTTTTGATATTTGCGCATATCAGACCTGACTTCCTGAATTGTATGAAAAATCACATTTTTAGCTTGTGGACCCTCTAAGAGGTCATAATTATTATCCGATTTTAAAAAACATTTAAATGTATCACTGTTACACCCTAATGACGGTTGAGTTCTAATTTCGTGAAAATCGAACAAAACTGCTTGACAAAATGGCTGCGCTGTGTATGCAAATAGTGTAAAAGTATGTAATACCAAGGTTGTGGACCCTCTAGAAGTCACAATTTTTAGTCGATTTTGATGAAACTTAAAATGTTACATTATATCACAAATATCTCAATCCCTTTCGATATTTGTGCATTTCAGACCATAACTTCTTGGATTATGGCCCCTGATTGTACAAAAAAACGCTGGTTTAAGATAAAATGAAACATCAAATAATCCCCGATTGGATTAATTATTAGGAGTAAACAGTAAATAATAACTTGAGATATACTTTCTATATATCATTGGGGGGATTGGATGGCCGAATGGTTAGCACGTGCACGCTGTATCATAAGGTCTGTCATTGAGTCAAGTGGCGTGGTTTCGAATCCCCGGTTGTACATGGGTTTTCTCCAGGTCCTCCGGTTTCCTCCCACTGCTAAAGACCCCTACGTGCAAGCGAATTATTGAAAAAAAATTAAACCATATGTTAGTCCTGAAATAACCCAGTCTGTGACGAGTGGCCGTTAAACCCCATGTCTCTCTCTCTATATATATATCATTGGCAATTATCAATTAACTAATCATTAAATCAAGACAATTTTTTAGTATTACTCATTGACACGATCTGCATCATCAGCAAGTTGATTGAATTATAGTCTGTCGTAACGTGATTGTGATTGACATTCAATGTAATGGTCGATCAACGATAAATACGATTAGAATTTTAAGATTTCTTTTCAATCTCTCAAAAAGAATTGCAAGTACCCTAAACTTTATTTATTGCCCAACATGAAATTTTAATTGTCACTCTCATTTTTTTTATAACAAAGTGTGACTTTGGCGACCGACTGCGTTAATAAAACATGATATGATATTGTATGTGAACCGATTTCAGAAGAACATTGGTCTGCTTAATGCAAAATGAAATACAGGTGTATAGTCACCATAATATGAAGCATAATGTTCCTGTGGAATTGAAGTATTCAACTGGAAACTGCTATCAGGTGTTCTAGAAAGGAGAGTGTCTCAACTTTTTGCACTCTATGACCCTATTTTGTTCTTTTCCCTAGAACGTTAGTGATAATTATATCACAAACACTAGATGTATTTGGGAGTCACAGTGTCTCAGTGAAGATGACACTGGCAAATTAAACAGGTCTGGGCTTCATCCTAGTTTTGGCCAAGAAAGTTCCAATGGGTTTGGCAGCCTGGCTTCACTTTGTCAGTGTTGCAATGAGCTGAGGTTCCATATATGCCATTCATAACAAAGTAAAGATCCCTTGTTGGAAAATAAGGGTAGACCATACCTGCAGTGCATATTGCAGGGCATATGGCCATCTTCACTAGCCCGGTTGGTGCAGATAAGAAAGAAATTAAAACCCATTTCATTTATATTTATATTTACAGGTAACAAAAGAAATTAGAAAAGATATAGAGAAAAAAGCCAAAGACCATGAACAAGACACAGAACCATATTTTCATATACCTGTACCTTCTGTTTGTTATTTGAATATCTTAAAAAGTCTAAATCCAGACATTTTAGAAGGTAACTTAATAATAGATGTTATATAAATTGATAACAAATATTGAAAATAAAATGAACTTAGACATGTTAGGATTGGCTGTCAATAGTTTTCTCAGAAAAATCACTAACAAAGGTCCATAAAAATTTGCACACCTACTTTTTGGCCAATAATAAGAGCTGAACTTTTTATACTTAAGGACAAGATCATAGTGAACATGACAGAATTTTTTAAACACTGACTTACGTTTAGTAGGTAAAGATTCCTATCGAAACAATTTACATGTTAAAAGTTTCCTATATTTCAGATTTTGGAGTGTTTTTATCTGGAATAATAGGTAGAGAAGTAGATGATTTACCTCGTGGTATATATCATTCTTCAACTCGTAGACAAACAGTTGTATCTAACCAAGGCAAAGCTATTAGTTCTATACCAGCATTTATATTAACACAATACGAGAAGACCCGACAACCAGGATTACGTCCAAGTTTAGCAGGTATATTTATGGAAGTAATACATACCCCCACCCCTCCTGCCCTAAATATGGAATTCTGGTTGAAATTTGTCACACCTTTTTTTTTTTCAAATACAAATAGTCATAATATGGTGAGTAGTGTACTACAAATTGTTTAAAAGTTTAAAGTTTTAGATACTGTATTTAATCTGATTGAAACTTTAGATAATACTTGTGTTTTTCAGCTGGGTTGTTATTCTGTTATGATCCATCTATAGAAGTAGGTCGAGATGGTCGTCCACGTAGACACTATGTCATCAGTCATGGCAAAAATTATCAACAAATGTTTGAAACACTTTTACATGAGGTATTTATGTCTCACTTTATAATTACTTCCTGTCAGATATTGTATTGATGATTAAAATTTTATGAAATATACTATTCAAAAAAAGTAGGGGATATTTGATTTTGGGGGCATAATACTAAAATATGCAAATGACTACGAAAAAAGTCACTATAGAACCTAACAGAAGAAACATTTCCAGTTACATGTGATGCCCAAACGCACCAATAGCTACCGCATGGAATGCAGGTGATGCTTGGGATCATCATGGGGGTCCAACCCAAGATTTGCACGACTCTGACTTTGAATGTTACAGTCATTGTGGCATTGAATTCCAGGGTGGAAACATCAGTTTAATTGTTTTAGTGACCAGAAAACAAATTTTGATATGCGTCGGCTTACCCAAAATGAAAGGTTACGTGCCCTTGGCATGCTACAGATCGGCACAACACAGGCGGTTGTGGCGCGGACGATGAATGTTTCTCAGTCTGTCATAAGCAGGCTATGGTCCAGATACCATGATACACAATCTGTACAGGACAGACCACGCTCAGGTCGACCAAGGGCGACAACTCAAGCCCAGGATCGATTTATCCGTACCTTGGCCTTGAGAAATCGTGTCATCACAGCAAATCAGATCAGCGCTCGTCTTCAAACAGACACTGGTGTGAGAGTGAGTGGCCAGACGATTCGGAATCGACTGCATAGGGGTCACCTTCGCGCCCGACGTCATCGCGTGATCCCTTGTTTGAGAGATCATCACATTCAGGCAAGACGTCGTTGGTGTAGGGATCGTCAACACTGGGATAATCGACGCTGGAGCAATGTGATGTTTTCAGATGAGTCAAGGTTCACTGTTGATTTTTTGGACAGACGTAGGAGGGTGTGGCGTCGTCGAAACGAGCGCTTCCAAGACGTTAACGTCATCAGACATGATCGATTTGGGGGTGGTTCTGTTATGGTGTGGGGAGGCATCACTGTTGCTGGAAGAACGGCTTTACATGTTGTTGCAGGGCGTGTTACAGGCCAGTACTACCGGGACAACACCTTGGCAGTCCATGTTGTGCCGTTCGCACGACGTCATGGCCGCCGTTTCATCTTCCAGGATGACAACGCAAGATGTCACAGGGCCAGGATCGTTACAGGTTACCTCCAACAACAGAACATCACCACATTACCTTGGCCAGCACTGAGTCCCGACCTCTCCCCCATCGAGCATGTCTGGGACATGCTTGGACAGAGGTTACGTCAACGTCAACAACGTCCTGCCAATGTCCAAGAACTTGCTGCTGCGTTGCAACAGGAATGGGACAATCTGGACCAAAATGACCTTAGACGTCTCATTAGGAGTATGCCACGTCGGATCAATGCTTGTTTGGCAAAAGAGGAGGATTTACCCGTTACTGACTTGGTTGTGATGCTGTGGTAACTTTGCTGTTTGACCCCGGCTATCATTTTACCCTTATAATGGTCAGTCTGTGCCTTACTTAGTCTAACGATCATTTGGAATAAATCGATGAATGTGAACTTCATTTCATTTTGTCATTTGTTTCTTCGTCAGTTTCATTAGGTGACTTTAATAACACTTAAAAATCAAATATCCCCTACTTTTTTTGAATAGTATAATATGGATTCTATTATCCACTGTTGATAGTGTTGTATAATCCTTGCAAAGCATGTTTTTGTCTTGGAACGCATTTTAAAAAGGGTACATTTAAAAAAAAAAAATAAAAAAAAAATACACTATTTCCATCTGGTGTATTCACCAAGCTCCCTAAATTATCAATCCTGGTCGATCATATTGCACAGTGTAGTCAATATTGTACCACATTATATTACACATTAACAAGTCAGTTAATAACTTTTTGTTCTGTGTTTATGCTAGTTCACATTTCTGGTTACATTGGTTAATGCTAGTTCATGGTTTTTTTCTGTAGTTCATGCTAGTTCACATTTTTTATTGTATGGTTAATGCTTCCACCATAGTCTTTATAGACTGCTTAAATACCTGTAAAACTATTTTTGCCATTGCTTTATTGTCAAGTCGCGTCATTTGACTGGACATCAATCAGAATTTTGGAAAGTTTTTGTTACTCTTAAAAACACAGTCTACTGATTGGCAGCATTGACTGCAAATCTGTGGCTACATTCTAATACCATGTAAGGTTATATTTAGACATATAGACCAAGAGACAAGTACAAAAAATAGTGTACCAGTGAAGTTTTTAGCAGTCGGCATGGGATGTAAATTAACTTTATTTGTCTTGAATAATCTCCATAGCCTTAATAAAAAATAATGAAAACAAGTATATTTGTGGTATATATAAAATATTCCCCAGAGATATACAAGAAATAATTGTGGTTATATATGATATATAATAAAATCGGCCTCTTGTTTTTAGGTCATATAATTGTATACTTTCGAAATCTCATAGGACTTATAATAAATCAAACAAATATTAGTTATATGTTTCTTTCATTATTGTAGGTTACAATTCAACCGTCGGAATGGCATAGATGCATGTTATTACCACAAGCTTGGACTTCATTTGTAGATCGATTATATTCGGCGGTCATAGAGGTAAAGGATAAGTTGTATTTTATTACCAGCAATAAATTATTATTGAAACATGTATTATTGATGTTTAACTGAGAGTTATAGAATCCTCTCATCATCTTTGTCATAATTATTAATTTTATTTCCATTAACGTTGTAACTTGTGTACAAGGCTGATATTTATGGGCTTTATACTTTATTGGTGGCTGATACTTGAAGATGTATGACCATATACATATGCTCTTTTAGTTACCATTTAGAAGAACATGCTAACACATGCTATCATTGACTAGTATTTCACTCACCATTGACTGTTAAATCTATGCCATTTCTTGCTTATAACATTTGTTTGAACATTCCAATGATCTTAATCTTTACAACGAAATCCCAACATGTTGCAGTGATTTGCTGAAAAAAGATCTGTTGGTTGTGACATAATTTTCTTAGGTGATTTTCCTAATTCAAGTCTGTTTAATTCCTCCTGAATGTTCTGCCTCAAAATCATTAATATTCACCAAAACAGGGCAAACACTCACCTGTAATCTGATTCATAATCTACACAAAAAGTTCTTTAAGACTGCCAGATTTGAGCTGCATATCTTCACTAGAAAGGTAAAAATAAGATATCTGAAACTCAAGTAAATGATTGATTCATATTTTGCCCTTTCCTACTTTTTACCAGGTACATGTATTTTTTTCAGATTTTTTCGAGGGGGGCAATTTCCAAGATTTCTGAATTGACCCACTTGACATGAAATGACCCGTTTTCAATTCTAGAAATGAAATCAAGAAAATTTCCAAACAAAAGCTGAGGAAAAGGGGAAAAAAGATAATTTCTATAAATAAATGAACTCTATTCATCTATTATGAAATCAGGAAAAATAAAAACCAGTCTTATTTCATCATTATCAGCCTGTATACTTGTTGGAAAATGTGTTGTTATTGTTCATTTGATCATAAATAAGAGAAACACTAAGATTTTTTTACCTGTCCCTTACATAAGAAATCTGTCTGATAGTAAACATATTAAAGTTTTTTTCATTATCAACTGCAATAAAAGATTTTTGAATTTTCAACAATTTCTTGTATACCAGAATTCATATTTAGATCTTCTTATTATTGTCTATTGAAACCTCTTTTTTTTTTTAGAGTCGCAAGGTTGAAATTGAACTGCAGGTGCGTCAAGGGAATATGGAAGAAGAGGAGGCCAATGAGAAAATATCTACAAACTGGCTCTGGTTAGTTTTCTAAAAATAGATATGCAAATATTACTTTTCATTCAACAAGTTAATGAATGAACTTAGTCTGTGACGTAGGTGGGCATTTGAGAAATTAATGTATAGTTTTAGCTCTTTCACCCTAACTTAGTTATATAGCATATTAAAAATGATGTACATTTTACAAGTCCATTGATGGTATTTTAGATTAATTAATAGATAGTGACGATAATATCCCCCACAAGTCGAGATAAACCATCAAAATCCCATAATTCATTAATTATTTGAAAATGAATCAATTAGTATATTAGGAATTAGTTGAATAAAGTCAGAAGAAACTAAATAAAGTTCTAATCAATCACCAGATGACATGTAGTTTGTTGTAAATGTACCAGTTCATTTTATTTATATCTAATTTTTACAGTCCACATTCATAATGTGGACGTATATAGCCATCACCCCTGTCTGTGTGGGTGAGTGTGTGTGTGTGTGTCGCCTACCCCGTCTTCATTAGCCCAGTTCGGAGCAGAACAGTAGGACGTTAAACCCCATTTCATTTCATTTCATTTCGTGTCGCCTACATACCGCAAATTCTTACCTGACCGTCTTGAAGCTTTACATACCCATTCCTTATACGCTAAGAATGATCCCTATTGTTTTTGATGCATGCTCGATTTCCAGGGGCAGAGCCACGCCCATTTCTTGTGTTTTTTTGTTTGTCGTCTACAGGCTGCATTTCTTAACATATCATCTTGAAACATACTTATTCCTTATACACTAAGGTACACCCCTATTGTTTGTGGTGCATGCCCAATCCCAGGGGCAGAGCCACGCCCATTTTCTTTTTGTGTGTCGCCTACAGGCTGCAATTCTTAATTGATCGTCTTAAAAAACTTCATACTTATTCCTTATACCCTAAGGATGATCCCTATTATTTTTGATACATGCCCAACCCCCTGAGACAGAGTCACGCCCAATTTTTGTGTGTGTCTGTGTTTTGCCTACAGACACACAAATTTTTATACGCCCACATTAAATTGTGGTTGTATATTGTCGTCGCTCTATAGGCTAAAATTAATAAAGTTTATACGCAGTGTTTAAGGTCATGAAACGAAGAAGCCTATTGATTTTCAGCGCTTTCCAATAATTACTGCCAGAGTTATGGAACTTGATCACTTTGAAAAGAAAAAAATCTTGTGGACACTCTAGAGGCTAAAGTTAATATCCGATTGACGTTAAATTTATACACAGTGTATCATGAGACGAAGAAGCCTATTGATTTTCAGCGATTGCCTATAATTACTGCCAGAGTTATGGCCCTTGATCACTTCAAAAAATCTTGTGGACACTCTAGACACCAAAGTTAATATCCGAGTGACTTTAAATTTATACGCAGTGTTTGAGGTCATGAGACGAAGAATGCTATTGATTTTCAACGATTTCTGATAATTACTGCCAAAGTTACGGCCCTTGATCACTTTGAAAAATCTTGTGACGCTCTAGATGCTAAAGTTATCATCCGATTGACTTCAGATTGATACACAGAGTTTAAGGTGTTGAGACGAACAAATATATTGATTTTCAATGAATTTTAATAACATGAATAAATCCATGATATTAAATGTTTCATATACTAAACGTTAGCATGAGGCAGAAGCCGCAGAACTTTATAAAAACCAAACATTTTCTAATGATTTTCTGATAATTACTTAATGAGTTGTTACTCTTACTCAGATTTTAGTGTATTATAAATGTTTCATTACCAAAAAAAGTAAAAATATGCGACAACTTTTGTTGACTGCCCAGACGATTTAGCTGCTGTGGGCATATGTTTCGTTGCCTGGCAACCTGTCTTTTCTTCGTGTGTCTGTGTGTTGCCTACAGGCCACAATTCTTAATGTATTCGATAACTTGTCTGTGATATTTCTTAGGTGGAAGCGGAAGTTAAATAAAGCTATTTCACACACTCGCATATCAGATAAATACTAGACTGTTTGTTGATCACACGTGGCGGTTATAAGTACAATAACTGAAACGAAGTAGAAATCTCGTGAGACACGTGAAATTAAGAGTACAATAACTGAAATGAAAATTGAAATCTAGCGAGACACGTGAAATTAGGAGGTGTAAACGTGCCGAATCTAACACGTCTGAAGATTCTATTTTGATGGCATATTCTCGGATTTATGATCATATTTTGAATGGGGTTTATGTTTTTATATAAATAAATAAACACGCTAAGAAATTGTGACGAATATTTCGATTGGAATAATGTAAGTAGTTAATTCTTTTAGACGATAACGCGTGCTAGGGTCGATTGCGATTTTTTAGCAGATGTCACTCGCTCATTGTGGTAGAGCGACGATTACTGCCAAATAAATTTCGGCCCCGCTGAAAAATGTATCAACTTATATCCCCCAAAATATGATAATTTTGGAGGAATTTGAAGCAGGTACGGGTCAGCACGCTTTCATTCTATCGTATTACGACAACACACAATTTTGTAGGAATATTACTGACATAAATTTGAATACCATACGGGAATTAAATATGAAAAATAACCAGGTGCATCTATTTTTTATTACGTATGAATTTGAATATTGATACATGATTTTTAATTGTGGTCTGAAAACGCCTGCTTAAATAACGATAAGAGTTATGTCCCTTTATTTTTTGGAAAATATGTCCCGACAAGAAAAATTTTGAAATCCCATCACTGTATTTATTCCTTATACCCTAAGGACGGCAACTACTGATTTTGGTACATACACGGGTCACGGTGGCTAAGAGGGTAAGACAATGGCTCACTAGCCTGGTGGTCGGGTGTTCGATCACTGCATTGGCTGAGAAAGTTCATCCAGATTTTCCGGTGTGGTTCCCCATTGTCAGTGATGCAGGAGGGAGGGCCTGTCAAGGACAATTGTCTAGTCATTCAGATGGGACAAAAACCTGAGGTCCTGTGTACGTAAAAGACCCCTTGACAGTTGGAATTCGATGTAAGAGTAGGCAGTATGGCCGCTGTCTGGGCAGAATTTCTCTCACAGCACACTGTATGGCGTATGCCCGTCTTCATTAGCCTAGTTCGGAGCAGAACAGTAGGACGTTAAACCCCATTTCACTTCATTTCACTTTTGGTGCATACCCTACTTTTTGTCAATATTTTGTCTGTAAACGATATACAGGTTGCAATTATTAACAGGTTTGGATCTAATTCGGAATGATCCATCATAAGTTTGTACTTATTTATATTGGTCCAGGTCCAACCCCCAGAGGCCGAGCCACTGTAAGGATAGCAACTATTTATTTTAGTGCATGTCCCGACCCACAGGATTGTGGTACCACTCCCACTTTTTTGTTAATTTTTTGTCTGTAAATACTATACAGGTTGCAATAATTAACAGATTTTGTTCGAATTCAGCATACCCATTTGTGGTCAAACTGGTTTCATTTATGTAAACCAGTAGCTAGCAAATTTTGAAATGGGCAATTAGTGTTTTATTTTTGTTTTTCAGGGTTCGTGATATACTGACGGATATTATTAAAAAGACATCTAGGTACATACAAATACATTATTTACATGTTAAGAACATATAGTCTGTCATTGGGTCAAATGCCGTGGTTTAGATCCCAAGTTTGTATGTGGCAAGGAGTAGGGTAACCAGCTGCTAAAGACCCCTACACGCAAGCGAATTATTGTAATAAAATTGTACCATATGTCAGTCCCAAAATGGTGAACCGGTCTCTATTTTCTATCAACAAATTCTTGTTGGTGATTGCAGTTACTGTACTGAACTCAACTTCAGTACAAAGTCTTTAGAATTTGACAATCAGGCTTCTCTGTCCCAAGCAAGTATCCACTGAAACCTGTAAATTTGACCAATTAATTTAAAACATCCTTTTTATATAGTATTTGAATAGACAACTCTCTTACTCTAGTTGTCTGCTCTTTTTTTTTTAAAGAGAAAGCCCAAGTGTGCAGGGTAATTCAATCCTCGCTTTATCAGGTCTAGCAGTAGCTGTCAGTCGAGTTGTCAGTGGGCTGCAAGATGATGATTTGGAAAAAGCAAAGAAAGTATCACAGCACATGAGTCATTCATGTTGGTTGATGATTGTCCTAGATACGATTATGTGCTTAATGGATGTCGAGTATAAAAGTAAAGGAGATATACTGGGCATGTGTCAACAGGTATTTATTTACACATAGTATTTATAATTTGATAACATATGGTCATCTGTGTAATATATCTTTAAATGATTTTCATTTTCTTGTCAAACATCTGCATAGCTTGCTATCATGACGTAATAGTGTTACCTTATTCTCCTGTTTCTCCACTGTTTACCTAGAGAAGCCACAATCTATCTGATATTAAGTGCATCACATGCTCAATGATAAGATAAATTTATCTTACCATGAACTTGTTTCCTGTATCTTTCTGTATCTTTATATCACAAGATTTCTGGTGTGGGTGGAATAAATGCAACTGAAAAAGGTCAACCTGAGCTCTTCTTACTCAAAGCAAGTAGTTAAAGTCAGTTGCACATGTTCAACTTTCTTCAACTCGCTGCAACTCTTCTTGTCAGCTTGATGAATTCAATCAAATTTTGTATATAAATTACTTGGATATTGTGTATTTAAGTTTGTTCTAATGAAGTTTTCTGGCTTAAAAGGACCAAATTTAGACATTCCCTTAAACTAATTAATGGATTTTAACCAAATTTGATAGAAAGCCAATTATGTTCAAGTGTACATTTCTAAGTATATATTTTAGATATTTGAACATTCTATATTTTCAGAGAGATGTAAAGGAGAAAAAGCCAGCCAGTCTATTAGCAAGAACATCAGCATGTATGGCATTAACACAATTAATTCCTGTCATGATGACCTGTGATACAGACAGAATATATGACCTCATCACTAGATTTATTAACAGTCTTCCTGGACGACCTAGTGTTGATAAAGATTCACCAGTTGCCCAATTTTACCATGGCCTAGCTTCGGGCATGTTACTAAGTCGTCTTTTCGAAGAACATTTTTCAGACATTTGTGGTACAAAGGTGAAACAGCCTGAAGCATATTTTTGTCTATTTTCCAGCTTATTTCTTCATATTTCATGATCTGTGTGATGTTGGCCTATTAATAATTATTGCATATAGTTTTAGTAAGCTGGCGGTTATTGACCATTGTCTGTAGATTGTTGACATAACAACATTATGGTAATATAACTACTCTAGTCATCATTTCATCTAACTGATAAACCCTAAGGTATAACCATAATCAATGTGCTTTTGGACAGTAGCTTTTTTCATGATCATGTGTTCAATGAATGTTCTTGGCATGTTCATGCAAAAGTGGAATTTTGAAATATGTTGTCCTTGGAGAAAATTAGACATTTGTTGTTCTGGTACCATAGAAAACATAATGTGATAAACAAGATGATGATTCAGTCCATACATTTGATAAATCACAACAAAATGCTTTTGATAAGTATGAATACAAAATTGATTTATGATGAAATATATCTATCCTGACATTTTATGTAGTTTAAAGCCAATTGAATAAAGAAATTAAATAATTTAACTCCACACTAAGTTAAAATTGTTATCCAAAATTCCAAATAACTGAGAATTTGTGTCTGCTCTTGTAGAAAGAAGAGACACTCTGTCATCAAAATAGTTGATTAGTTCTGTTTCACTTTACAGCCATAAGTTCTATATGAAGAATGGAAAAAAAAAAATATTTTGTATAAAAAAATGAATTTATATTTTCTGTATAGGGTATGACAGAAGTATGGAAAGCCTTGTCATTACTGGAAGATTGTTGTTTGGATTCTGAGCTAGAAAACAGGTACAAATCCTAAAAATTTAGGTCAATTTAGAGGAATCAAAATACTGGTTCAGCAGTTAAAAACAAAAAAACTTGCAGGTCCTTTTATTATCATTTTATTATTCTGAGTAAGATTTTATTTGTTTATAGCTCTTATTACAGGAACAAAATGTATAAAGGCCCATAGCCCTAATAAACAGAAATGTATAATATTATCTATTTGTCTAATTGAAAGGGACACCCTTTTAAGAAATACTGGAAAAAGAGTGTAGTCTGCTTTAAGAACCTCGGCGATGGTTAAACCAGTTTAACTTTGTCATCTGAATGCAAAGGTGGGGCAAATAAACCAGTTTAAAAAACCCAGCTTGCGACCTGTCTTTGAGAAGGCTTTTTATTTTAAACTGGTTCATCCTGGCCGTCCGAACGGATTGGCTTAAAAACTTGCAGCAAGTTACATTTGTGGGAAAATGGTGGTGTCATGCAGTGCCAGTGTTATCGAAAGCGGCAATACTATTTATAATAATTGAGGGATGAATTGGATCGATGAGAAAACACTTTTTCTCATTTCTGTGTGGGGAGGGGACACAATCCATATCTGTTTCAAAGTAGTACCATTTGAGACATGAGAATATAATGCGTACATGCAAAGTTTTCTTTTCAGAATCGATAAATCTCTGTTTTGACATCCGTTAGCATTTTACATAAATCCCTGTTTTCTCATATTCTAGTATTTATATTTTCTATCTATCTATCAGGAAAATGGGAACAAAAAGTTTGCAGATGTGTGCAAGAACCAAATACAGAATATGAAGCTACCCATGCGTAGTTAACATTAAACTCTGACTGAAGAGGTCAGAATAGTTAAACTGGTTTGGCTTATAGTATGTGTGAAGGCAACACGATCATGTCTTAAAAACCCTGGCAATTTTTAACTGGTTTAAAAATAATCGTCTAAATGGACTATATCATTATAATAGACAATAATCTGGTATATTTCTAGAAATGGAGCATTGTTAGGACTGGGATTGTGTATAAGTGGATTATGTCAAGATGGAAAGACAGATTCAAGAGTTCACGTTATAAATATACAAGAGAAATTGATGACTTTATGTAAATCAACTGATACAGATGATAAAAGTTATCAGGTATATCAATTATGTCATCATAGTTATACTTTAGTCAATAAAACAGGTTAAACAGACAGTTTTTACTTCTAATCACAGGCACCTGTAACATGGAAAATATTTCAAAAATAACATCAAACTATGACAAAGTATATGTTTAAAGTCTGTTACGTCCATGTTGGTAAGTGAGATTATCAAATAACTGGTCTGATTCCAATTTGTCACAATTAAATAATTGGGATCAAAGTTCACTACTCTAGATTCCATCAACCAGTGGCAATACTCACTAAATTTCACTAGGTAGACAATCGAGTCTATGATGACTTTTTAAAATTATCCACGTGGACCACGTGACCTTCTTTATATGGTTATATCCCAAAGATCTGACAGTAACTTCATGGATAATGACCACTGAATGTGCGAAAAATCTAGTTTTTAGCTTGTGGACCCTCTAGAGGTCATAGTTTTTATCAGATTTTAAAAACTGTTCAAATATGTCACCATTACACCATAAGGATGGTTGAGTTCGAATTTAGTGAAAATCGGACCGAAACTGCCTGACAAAATGACCACTCCTTGTGCGCAAATAGTGTAAAAGAATGTAATATCGAGGTTGTGGACCCTCTAAAATTCACATATTTTATCAGATTTTGATGAAACTTAAAATATATATTTATATCCCAAAGATCTCAGTTCCTTTCGATATTCTTGAATATCAGACCTTAACTTCATGGATTATGACCCTGATTGTACAAAAAATCGTGTTTTAAGCTTGTGGAACCTCTACAGGTCACAATTTCTACACCATAAGGATGGTAGAGTTTGAATTTCTGAAAATCAAACCAAAACTTCCTGTCAATATGGCCGCCCCCCTTTATGCAAATGGTGTAAAAGCATGTTATACCAAGGTTGTGGTCTCTCAGAGATAACAATTTTTATCAGATTTTTATGAAACTTAAAATGTATGTTTACATCCCAAAGATCTTGGTTCCTCTTGATATTGACGCATTTTGGACCGTAACATCTTGGATTATGGCCCCTTATTGTACGAAAATCGCTTTTTTAGTTTGTTCTCTGCCCATCTCTTGCAAAATGTGGGATTATCTTGCATGACAACATCTTGTTTTACATTTATACACCCTTTCACCCTTACAGGCGATATGTGTAGCACTAGCCTGTATATCTGGTTCAGCTTATGATACTAATATTATACCTACAGATCAGATTAACTTGACAGTAGAATTATTATACTGTAAAAACCAAGAATACAAACAGGTTAGTTTTATAAGTAGCATGTCTCATTATAATGTGGTGCTACATAATGTATTTTTCATATTACGTTGTGGTGCTAAAGCTCGTCGTAACAGACCGTTACATTGGCTTATCCCTGACACCATTCAGAACACGAGTTAAATAACAACTCTTCCAGATCCAAGTGTAGTAAAGACAAGTAAAACGAAATTTTGAACTATAAAAACGAAACTAAATAGGATCTGTGTTTTAACCAGATTGGTTTTCATATTATATTGGGATAACAATGCCACATGATGTGGTTATAATGTTAAATACTTCATGAGTGTAGTAAGAATCCTACATTATGCAATAAAACTACTTCTTAAGGTGGTTTTGAGGCTGTGTGATGTGATAGTGGTGCTTTGTGATACAACATGATATGGTGTACTGTTATGACACAACATCATATGGTGCACTGTTATGATACATCATCATATGGTGTACTATGATACATCATCATATGGTGTACTATTATACTAGGTGATGTGATTATATTTTGGTACAGTGTTACATTAAATTATTCAGACGTATATGCATATGAAAAGCCCATAATCAACTCTCTAGGCCTTTGGATGGCTTAGGCATTAAATGTATTTGACCGTCTTTGCTATATAGTAATTTAACGATAACAAAGATAATCAAAACTTACTAACATAGCAATGGATCTTGGCAATCAAGACTATTTTGTCAAAATTCCACAAACACTCATAATTTTGCTCAGAATAAAGTAATTTGACTAACATTTTCATTATATTCATTTCTCATTATCTATTTTTGACCCATTATATAAGAACGACCTGCTTTTTATCTAAATCTTACATAATTCATTTTTGAAATTAATGAAATTGGTTAGTTTTTCCCTTGGTTTTCCATTAGTTATTATTATGCTTCAGTTAACAAATTATTGTTAGAAAATATAACAGCATCAGTGATTGAAAAGCACTTGCTCAAACATAGCTATAAACATTTGAAAGAAAATCAATAATGTAATTATATAATTTTAAATTACCATGGTCTACTTTATTACCCGAAATGCACCAAGAACTTCGAAATTATACCACCACAACGATAGTATGCCACAAGCACATGGAAAAATTGGTCAATCTATTTTTAGTGTCATAAACCAAAGTTATAAAACTGCTATTTATATTTTTCTTGGGGATAAAAACTGAAACTTTATTATCCAGTGTTACCCAACTTAATTATAAAGTTATAAAACTACTATTTATATTTTTCTGTGGAAATGAATATGCAGCCATTCTTGTATCATGAAAACATGCTTAAAATGATTGAAACTAATCGCTCTTTCAATAAAAACGTTAACTTGCTGAATTCCCCTTTGTTCTTTGTGACCATGACGGTCAAATGGTCAATTTTTTTTGTTTTTGTACTAGGGAGATTTAACACAATACACATCAGCTTAAAATATAAAAAAAACTATAGAGAAACCTGTTCTTATTAATAAAAGGAACATTTGGAATTTATCTTTAGGGTGTCTTAGCACCGTACATTTACTTTGGAATGTTGAAAGAGGTCTTGCATAACAGGACCAAAACACTTCGAAATCTGTTTCAAAAATATGTAAGAATGGTCAAAACAAAATCTCCCCGATTTAGTTCCACAACGATTGCTATACATAATGAAAGTAATTGTCCAAAAAACAATTGAATAGTTTCATGGTTGGACTCCAGACTGCAGGCCACGTGGATTTCCGGGAATCCCAATCTGGGAAAACCTGTATCTGATGACCTGATCAAAAGTGTGCAAATATTTTATGAGTTTTCATGCAGTGTACATTATAGCTCAGGGAATATAAATGTCATATTGGTAAATGTTACCGGGGAAAAGCTTGGCAGGCTTCATGATGCGAAGGAAACGTGTGTGGAATTGGTCTGGGAACATGGACATAATCAACAGGCATCTAAAATCCCTGACCATGGCTGTGATTCACACAATTAACAAGTTCATAATAAACAGTACACACAATTTACTATACAATCTGATTAAAACACAGATCCAATTTCATTTCGTTTTTATAGTTCAAAATTTTAATTTTACTTGTCTTTACTACACTTAGATCTGGAAGCGTTGTTAATTACCTCGTGTTCTGCTTGAAATGAGGGGTTAGCAAATCAAATGGTCTGTTGAATCTGTGGGTAGACATAAGCGGCAATAGAAATCAAAACAAAGCGTTCGCTAATTGGTTAATCGAATGACTGACGTAATCGGGTCAAATGTCGCTTGCTTGGTACCTGACGTCATAGAACGTGAACTCCCACTATAACTTGTTAGATCTACATGTTGTGTAGGCCATCGAAAGTATAAAAAACGAAATGAAATATAGATCTATATTTTAATTAGATTGTTTACTATAGGGATCTCTATTCTCAGAGAACGAAACAGGGAAATCTGATTGTGAAGCCATCGGTTCATCAGACGACCTGCGGTTGCTACTGCAAGTCCTGGTATAATCACTGTAGCAGCTCTGATGCATCGAAAAATTCCTTTGCTATCAGGTCTACGACCCAAATTGCTCGCTTCACTTCATTATTTCGTGCCTTTGGGTTGCTGTTTCCCAAACACTTTTACCTGTGTCCGTCGTTTAGGATCCCGGAAATCCATGCGACCTGCAGGCTGGAGTTCAACAATGAAACTATTCAACTGTTTTTCGAGCAACTAGTTTCATTTCATTACGAATCTAGCAATCGGCGTACAAACTAAATCCGAGAGATTTTTGAAGGTTTCAAAGTGTTTTGGTAAAAGTAAAAGTACCGTGCTAAGAACCTCTAAAGATAAATTTCAAATGTTTCTATTATTAATTATCCCCCGCCTTCGAAGAAAGCAGGGGACTATTAAAATAGGTTTGTCTGTCTGTCTGCCAAAGTAAAAGTACCGTGCTAAGAACCTCTAAAGATAAATTTCAAATGTTTCTATTATTAATTATCCCCCGCCTTTCGAAGAAAGCAGGGGACTATTAAAATAGGTTTGTCCGTCTGTCTGTCTGCTGGTTCGGACGTCTGACCGTCTGTCTGTCTGTCTGTCTGTCCGTCACACTTTTTGGGACATAATAACTCTACTAATTTAGCTAGAATGTTCAAACTTGGTGTAGGTGTTTATTAGGTCAATGCCTTGATGGAATTTGAAGATGGGCATATTCTGCTTAGGGTAAGCAGAGATAAGTAATTTGATTGGTTGATGCTTTGGGACATCATAACTTTAGTTCAAATTAAGTGAGAGTGATGAAATTTGGTGTATAGTTTTATTACATCAATACCTTGACTAAGTTCGATAATGAGCATTTTTAGCTTGTGAACACTGTAGAGGTCACCATTTTTATCCGATTTGGTTTAAACTTGAAATGTATGTTTATAATCCGCAGATCTCAGTTCCTTTCGATATTCACGCATATCAAACCATAACTTCCGGAATTATGGCCCCTGATTGTACGAAAAATCACGTTTTTAGTTTGTAGACACCATAGAGGTTACAATTTTTATCCGATTTAAAAAAACGTTTGAATATATCACCTTTACAGCCTAAGGGTGGTTGGCCCCTGATTGTACGAAAAATTGTGATTTCAGCTTGTGGACCCTATAGAGGTCATAATTTTTATCTGATTTAAAAAAACTTTTGAATATATCACTGTTACACCCTAATTTTGTAAAAATAGGAACAAAACTGACAGACAAAATGGCCGCCCCTCGTACTCAAATAGCGTAAAAATATGATATATCAAGGTTGTGGACTCACAAGAGGTCACAATTTTCTTCCGATTTTGATGAAACTTGAAATGTAAGGTAATAACCCAAAGATCTCGGTTCCTTTCGATATTCGCACATATCGGACCATAACTTCCTGAATTATGGCCCCTGATTGTACGAAAAATCGTGATTTCAGCTTGTGGACCCTATAGAGGTCATAATTTTTATCTGATTTAAAAAAACTTTTGAATATATCACTGTTACACCCTAATTTTGTAAAAATAGGAACAAAACTGACAGACAAAATGGCCGCCCTCGTACTCCGATAGCGTAAAAATATGATATATCAAGGTTGTGGACTCACAAGAGGTCACAATTTTCTTCTGATTTTGATGAAACTTGAAATGTAAGGTAATAACCCAAAGATCTCGGTTCCTTTTGATATTCGCACATATCAGACCATAACTTCCTGAATTATGGCCCCTGATTGTACGAAAAATCGTGATATCAGCTTGTGGACCCTATAGAGGTTATAATTTTTATCCGATTTAAAAAAACTTTTGAATATATCACTGTTACACCCTAATTTTGTAAAAATAGGACCAAAACTGACAGACAAAATGGACGCCCCTCGTACTCTAATAGCGTAAAAATATGATATATTATGGTTGTGGACTCTCTAGAGGTCACAATTTTCTTCTGATTTTGATGAAACTTGAAATGTAAGTTTATAACGCAAAGATCTAGGTTCTTTCGATATTCGCACATATTGGACCGTAACTTCCTGAATTATGGCCCCTGAGGTTATAATTTTTATCCGATTTCAAAAACCGTTTAATATATCACTGTTACACCCTAAGGATAGTTGAATTCGAATTTCGTAAAAATCGGCGTGCTGTATCATAAAGCCTGTCATTGAGTCAACTGGCATGGTTTCGAATCCCGGTTGTACGTGACAAGGAGTAGGGTCGCCTGTCCAACCTCATGGGTTTTCCCCGGGTCCTCCGGTTTCCTCCCACTGCTCAAGACCCCTACGCGCAAGCGAATTATTGAAATAAAATTAAACCATATGTTAGTCCCAAAATGACCTAGTTTGTGTCGAGTAGACATTAAACCCCATCTCTCTCTCTCTCTCTCTCTCTCTCTCTCATAAAAATCGGACCAAAACTAGACAGACAAAATGGCTGCCTCTCGTACTCAAATAGCGTAAAAATAAGGTATATGAATGTTGCGGACACTCTAGAGGTCACAATTTTCTTCTGATTTTGATGAAACTTGAAATATAAGTTTTTAACCCACATATCTCGGTTCCTGTCGATATTCCCGCATATCGGATTGTAGCTTCCTGAATTATGGCCCCTGATTTTACAAAAAATCTTGTTTTTAGCTTGAGGTCCCTCTAGAGGTCACAATTATTATCCGATTTAAAAAAACGTTTGAATATATCACCTTTACACCCTAAGGGGATGGTTGAGTTCAAATTTCGTGAAAATCAGACCAAAACTGACAGACAAAATGGCCGCCCCTCGTACTCAAATAGCGTCAAAATATGGTATATCAAGATTGTGGACCCTCTAGAGGTGACAATTTTCTTCTGATTTTGATGAAACATGAAATGTAAGTTTTTAACCCAAAGATCTTGGTTCCTTTCAATATTTGCGCATATCGGATTGTAACTTCCTGAATTATGACCTCTGATTGTACGAAAATCGCTTTTTGTTTAGCTTGTTCTATGTCCAACTCTTGCAAAATCTGGGCGTATCTGGTCTGGCAGCGGCTGGTTATATTTTACGCTGATGTGTACTATATTAAATCTTCCTATGGCAAAAACATAAAATTTGACCTCTAGGGTCACAATAAACGAAGGTGAATTTACCAAGTATACATTTTTATTGAAAGAGTGATTAGTTTCGATCATTTTCAGCATGATACAAGAATGACTGCGTATTCACTTTCAGTGTAAATGACCTCATTTGACCTTTGACCCAGAATATCTCAAAAACGGCGGACTGATTACCACTTGGCATCGTATTGTACTGAAAATTTTATTCTAGAAAAGTTGGGTCTGGTTTTGTGCCCATTTGATGAACGCACTGAGCCTCCGGTCTAATACCATGATTAAGTTTGACAATGAGAATTTTCAACAGTCTGCTTTTAATTGAGGTGGTGGGATATTTACACTTGCTATAAATCTTCATTAGGTGAATGTATTGACTAAGTTCGATTGGGAGCATTTTCAGCTAAAACTAATTATATATAAGCAATTTGTTGTTAAATAATTTATAAAAAGATAAAAATGCTATTAATTAATATTTGTCATATATACTCTTCAAAAAAAGTAGGGGATATTGAAATGCAAATAACTATGCAGGTTGTGATATGATAAATAGTCATGGACACTTGACATGCTTTGAGAGTATGTTCACAGATGAAGAACTTATCGCCCCAACAGAACCACTGAGCTGCACATGCGACATGCAATAGCACCATACACATGGGAGGACTTCAAGGAAGGGTTGATGAAAACTGCCGCGTGCTGGTTTATCCTATCCATGTTTGCTTTCCTATTGGTTCTTGCATAAGATTTACTGTTTATCTGTGCGTTAGTGTGTTATGTTTAATTTGATCGGGAGACGTGTCTGTCACTGTCACTGTCAACCGACAACACTGCAAGAATTGGTCGTGGCACTGCGAGAGGAGCAGGTCAGATTGACCCAAATCGTGATGGGATGGTTGATTAGGAGCATGCCACGACGAGTTGCTGAATGTCTGAGGATTGGTGGAGTAATTACTCATTATTAAAACAAAAATCAAAAACGTCCATTTTCACTTTTGACAGTGTATCTCTTTGCGAGTGAAATGGAGCCGTCAGATAATCCGCCCATATGAACTGTTTATGTTCATGTGTAGACAATTGGCCTGTTATTAACATACACTGGTTACCTCTAATAAAAACAGCAGTGCATTTCCGCAGTTTTGTATTGTTTCTGAATATGCCCTACATTTTTTTGAAGAGTATATTTATTTTGGTATTGGGCAAGGAACAACAGCCTCACTGTTAGATTGTTTAATTTATTTATTCAACAACAGTGTCACTTATGCTTGTGTAAACAATTGGTGTGATTATTTTAGTCAAATTTATTTTGTCTAACTTTATTATATATCTTCTTGTTTATTAATTCGGTAAAGTTTCAATTAAATTCAGATCACAGATTCATTGATCACATATCAATTATTTTGTTGCTGCAGAAGTGTGCCTGGTACAGTAATATTCAACAAAAACCGACTGATGCTATAATACTGTGAAGATTATCTTTTAACATTATATTTTTTTAATAAGAAGTATATTTGTTTTTTTCTGACTTGAGTCTGACATCATGAATGTTGTAATATATATTTTTGCCTTGTTGAAATTGTTGAGATTAATTAGTGGTTAATGTGTTTTTGTGTTATGTGATTTTTTGCAGGTAACAGGTGTGAGTTTAGCACTTGGAATGCTGTGTTATAGTTTAGATAAAATAGGACATCCTTCCATAGGCAAATTACGACAAGAACTTTCTAGTACATGGTCAAAAGCTCTGACATCAGAGGTATTTCATTTATGTTCTCTTATGATTGTCTTCCTAATTGTTATATGCTCTTATATGAGGGTGGGTGCATGATGCTGGCCACCACCCTGTCGGTGCGTCTGTCTGTCAACAATTGGCTTGTGAGCCTGATAGAGGCTACAGTTATTACATTTTCTTGGTCCCAAGTCTTTCAAACCAAAATGTCCAGTAATTTAAGGATAGAACATTTTTTGAGTGTTACTTTCCCTTTAGTGCTATTGTGGGTACAAAAGCAACTATTTAATTTCCTAATAGGTATGATGAACCAACTTAGCAATTAGGTTTGTAAAATGTTCCAAAGAACTCAATGTATATTGCATCTGTAAAGCTAATAATGTCTGGATTTCATTTTCATTTGATTTTTCTTTTGCTTTTTTCCATATCGTAAAGTCATATTTTGTCCTTTGCTTGCTCCCCAGTCATACTGATTTAAAAGGGAATGATCAAGCATGTCTGCGATATCACCTCGGTGGAAGCGGACGTTAAATAAAGCTATTTCACACACACAGATTTGGCTGCCAAGTCTGCTTTAAATCTTCCCATATCTTATTTTTTATTACCATATCATGATTTTAAATCATCAATAAATACATTTATATATGGCTGCTGGCAGCAGTCTTGAGATCTTGCAGGCACAAATAAACTTCATCACGTTAAGCCTCTCCTTGGAGATTGGTCCCAACTCCTATAGAACCAACAGGAGGGATGAAGTTGTTTTGTGTCACTTTTTAATAGGTCATCTCAAATACATTAGATCCAAATATTACCATTGACAGTCAGTACGTCAGTTATTTGGTCAATCGAAGCTATATAATAAAATGCTAACATTTTTAATGGAGACAAATTTTTATAATAAATTTTAAATTATATATATAATCATGTTTCCATTTTAAAATTCTAATATTTATATACATAGAGCTATGTGATATTTGGTTTTATTTGATTAACATATCTGTGATATTTGTTTTTAATTATGTATATGAATATTTATTTTGTGATGGTTATTTTATTTGTCTCAAATAAATCACCATATGTTTGGTGCAGTATAGCCCAGTTGGTGCTGACGTGCCATAAAACTACATTTCATTTACAGGAATTTCATAATAACGACTTATTAGTGCAACAGATAATTGCATTTATCAGGGGAAAATATAACTAAGAGGCCACTCTGAGGAAAAAGCCCATTAGCCATTTGAAATTTCCAAGATGCTACCATTTTCAAGATGGTTGACTTTTCGGACAAAGAAATGTCTTTCTTTCTTTTTTTCAATAAAATCACACCTAATTGTTCTATTTGATTGTTGGTCTGGAAGCTGTGTTCTTTGAGAAAGTTGAAAATCTCTACATTTGAGTCTTCCGGGAAGAAAGCCAGGACCTACTTTCAATAGACACGAAGTACACTGCTCACCTCAGTGCAGCTGAAATGTTGAGCATTCTCTATGAAAGCTCTACTGCAGGCTACATATATTGTATCGGGCAACAATATGCCAATCAGAAAAGCCAAGTCTTACTGTGTGGGGATGGACAAGAAAAATGACCTATGGCAAATCTTCTTTACCAGCCTTTCGCCTTACAAGGCAAACCAAAATGTCATGGAAAACGCAAATGCTATTGATTTGATGTTACCTGTATATTACCTGTATTAGTACATTGTATGTTCCATAAAAGTGCAAATAAGAGCATCATTACTCTTGTACTGGTGGAAAAATCATAATAAATGTTATTGCTATCAACCCTTTAATCATAAAATAGCACATTTTGTGGAACATAATTATAGTGTATTATGTTGATGGGGCATCTTCTCAGAATGATAGTATGAAAGCAGAATTAAAAACACATGTATATATTTGATCTCGTTATCGTCGGCATTGCAGACTAGCAGCAAGTGCAGTGGATCTTTTCTGCACTCTGCACCTTCTTGAACTGAGGAAAACCACCTCCATGCCCAGAAATAAACAAAATTGTTATTGCTTTTGTTAAAGGCGATAAAGACGAAGATGTAATGACTTCAAATGATAATTGAATATATGGATTGACCTTTCTTCACAGGCAACATATTTTATTACCCCTTCTTTCCTACGAATTGTTTGTACTTAGAACGTCAGAAGAGCCTAGATATGAAGAAAATAAACAAGTTTGTTATTGCTTATTGTTGTAGCTGGAAGGTATGGGTTCTTTGCGTATAATCGAGTGTTCATCTGTTAAACAGTTGAAGATGTCAAAATTACCTGAAGCAGTTATTCTCATTAATTCATGATGATATCCCTGTGTTTTTACTTTCTTATTAACAGCTTGCAGCATTGTATCTAGTGATTAGTCCTTGAAAATGGTACGGGGAGAAATACAACTTGATAATAATATATCTATCTAATCTGTCTGAAGGATTAGATATGTCTTCTTGCAATTATTATCATATAGCCTACGGACTACACATTTCATGCACTATTTTGTTTGTTTAAATTTTTGATATATATTATTTACTTTATTTGTAAAAAAAAGGAGACGTGCCCTATGGAGAAGGTGGCCATTTTGAATGGGTTATTGGCAATTATCGGTTCAGAGAGGACTTTGATTCCTGTGAGTATAAAGAGACAAAAGAAAAGTGGATGGAAACCCTTCTATTATATTTCATGTATAAAAAGGGGCCACATGAAATTTAAAAAAAAATTGCTTGACTTTTGAGCTTAATGGGACAATGTTCAAGTTATTTACATTTGAAAAAACATATGGGGTAGCTGAGTGCAATTTACAGCATAATAGGTCTGTTAACAAATCCAGTTTGTCCCAAACTGATCTGTTGTGTGTTGGGAAAATTAAACTTCATTTCTTTCTCTCTATTTAAAAAAAATCATGGTGAATATAATGGCTCATTAATAAAGTTACATCATAGTAATAGATATGTGAACTTTTCAAACAATTAAGTGCTCTAGAAAGAATGAGCATATCCTACTTTGTATAAAATAATGCGCAAAGAAACTAAATGAATGAAATGGGGTTTAATGCCCTACTTTTCTGCTCCATCTGGGCTAATTTAGACTGGCATATGCCATACAGTGTACCAACAGGGAAATTTTGCCAAGGCAGCGGTGATAAGGTTTTCTCTTATTTGGAATTCCAACTGTCGAAGGCTCTTTTACATGCACGTCAAGTGTACATGGGACCTCGTTTTTTTCATCGGAAGCTGTTACTTGCCAGGCCCTTTGTCCTGTGCCACTGACAAGGGGAACCACGCCTAAAAATCCTGAGGAACTTTCTTTACCAACACCAGGAGCGAACCCAAGACCTCCAGGTTAGCTAGCCAGCGCCTTACTCATTTAGATTTCAGAAGTTAGTGTTTTTAATAGACATTGCCACACCATTTCAAGAAGTAAATTTCTAATACATTCATATATTTGTATAACTGTTCATGTACATGTAGAATGTGAACATATATATGTTTTCGAATTGAACAGATACAGACATCAACAGGATTATCAGGAATTGATAGTAGCACCAATGATATCCTGAAACTAACTTCTCAGATTGTCACTTCTTCAAAAGATATTGGTTTACAGACTAATGCTGCATGGATGTTGGGACATCTTTATTTATCAGCATGTGCTGTAGCAGAAACTAGAGCCAGTGGTAATATTAATAATAATTCTGCTTTAATTTCTCATATCAGTGTTTAAAGCACAACTGTGTTTTGAGCATAATCGGCCAATCCCCTGCTAATAAATGTCAGACCAACAATTGTAGTTATATGAAAAGGAAACATAATTGCATCAGCAAAATCAATCGAAACTTGGTTCCGTTCTTTGTATTTTTTTTGCTGATGTTTTATGCAGAAAACCTTCTTGAATTTGATTCTGTGGTGATATTCTATTAATCGTGCTCAGAACATGAAAATACATGTAGTATCCTTTCTTATTTTTTATGCGCCCACATTTTCATGTGGACATATATTGTCGTCGCCCCTGTCTGTCCATCCATCCATGTGTCCTTGTGTCCATTCACATTTTCTTTGTGGACACTCTACAGGTCACAATTTTTATCTGATTTTGACGAAACTTGAAATATATGTCTATCTCCCAAAGATCTCGGTTCCTTTCGATATTGGCATGTATCGGACTGTAACTTCATGGATTATGGCCCCTGATTGTACGAAAAATCATGTTTTTAGCTTGTGGACACTCTAGAGGTCACAATTTTGATCCGATTTTGATGAAACTTTAAATGCATGTTTATGACCCAAATATCTTGTTTCCTTTCGATATTCGTGCATATCGGATCGTAACTTCCTGACTTATGGCCCTTGACTGTACATAAAATCGAGTTTTTGCTTGTGGTCCCTTTAGATGTCACAATTTTTATCCGATTTAAAAAAACGTTATAGTATATCACCGTTATTCCCTAATGATGGCTGAGTTCCAATTTTGTGAAAATCGAACCAAAACTGCTGGACAAAATTTGATGAAACTTGAAATGCATGTTTATATCCCAAAGATCTTGGTTCCTGTCGATATTCGCGCATATCAGATCGTAACTTCCTGAATTATGGCCCCTGATTGTATGAAAAATCATGTTTTTAGCTTGTGGTCCCACTAGAGGTCACAATTTTTATCCGATTTAAAAAAAAACATTATAATATATCACCGTTACTCCCTAATGATGGTTGAGTTCGAATTTCATGAAAATCGGACCAAAACTGTCGGACAAAATGGCCACCCCTTGTATGCAAATAGTGTAAACATCTGGTATATCAAGGTTGTGGACCTCCGAGAGGTCACAATTTTGATCCGATTTTGATGAAACTTGAAATGCATGTTTATAACCCAAAGATCTTGATTCCTTTTGATATTCACACATATCAGATCGTAACTTACAATTTTTATCCAATTTTAAAAAAAAAATATAAACTAATGATGGTTGAGTTCGAATTTCGTGAAAATCGGACATAGACTGATAGATATAATGGCCGTCCCTTGTACGCAAATAGTGTAAATATATGGTATATCAAGGTTGTGGACTCTCTAGAGGCCACAGTTTTTATGCGATTTGGATGAAACTTTAAATATATGTTTTTATCATAAAGATCTGGTTCCTTTTGATAATCACACTTAATCGAATGTAAATTTCTGGATTATGGCATTTTTAGCTTGTGGATTCTCTAGAGATCACAATTTTTTTTCCGATTTTAAAAACTTTTTAGATATATCACCATTCCACCATAATGAAGGTTGAATTGGAATTTCTGGAAAATGGCCGCTCTTTATACGCAAATTGTTTATAAGTATGTAATGCAAAGGTTATGGATTTAAAAAAATTTCTTGTCAGACATTTTACCGAAAATAAAGGGGCATAACTCTTATCATTATTTAAGCAGACGGATTCATACCACAATTAAAAATCATGTGTCAACAAAATATTCAAATCCCGTACGTAATAGAAATTGGTGAACCTCGCTATTTTTCATATTTAATGCCCGTACGGTATTCAAATTTATGTCAGTAACATTCCTACAAAATAACTCTTTTTCGTAATACATTGAATGATAGCTTGCCGATCCTGCTTCAGCATCAAATTCACAATAGTAGGCCTAATATTCCTGCAAAATTATGTGTCTTCGTTTATACAGCAGCAAATGAATGCAGAACTTCCTGAATAAGAATCGTTTTATCTTTATAAAATGTCAACAAAATATTCAACCACGAGGTAAACATGTAGATTAAAATTATAATCACTCTTATTGGATTGATGAATAGTCCGACAAAGGGGAACCAATGACTTCTGTTTAAGATTAGATTGATGAATTGTCCGATAAAAGATTAAGTCAGTCAATCATGGCAGATTAAGCAGTTAATCAAGGTAGGTGTATAGACGATATAACACGATAAATACGTTGATCTCTTAATTACCTAATCAATCAAGCCTATTATTAACGATAATTGGGTTGATTGGTAATTATACACTCAGTACACTATATTAATTTTGTAATTTTGAATAAACTCTTCAAAAAAAAGTAGGGGATATTGAAATGCAAATACCTATGCAGGTTGTGATATGATAAATAGTCATGGACACTTAACATGCTTTGAGAGTATGTTCACAGGTGAAGAACTTATCGCCCCAACAGAACCACTGAGCTGCCCGTACGACACACAATAGCGTTATACACGTGGGAGGAGTTCATTGTCAAATTTGACACTTCAAGGAAGGGTTGATGAAAACTGCCGTGTGCTGGTTTATCCTATCCATGTTTGCTTTCCTATCGGGTCTTGCATACGATTTACTGTTTAGCGTATCTTTGCTTTAGTGTGTTATGTTTAATTTGCAATGAGACGTCTTCAACATGTTGAACGTCTACGTGCTATTGGCATGCTTCAAATGGGTTCTACACAGCGAGCAGTCGCCAACATGCTTAATGTGTCACAGTCTGCTGTGATCAGCAGACTGTGGAACCGGTACCAACAAACATACAATGTTGATGAAAGACCTCATTCAGGTCGTCCTAGAGTCACTACACAAGCCCAGGATCGATACATTCATACACAGGTCCTGCGTAATCGAGAACAAACGGCCAATCAGCTTTCTGTAAACTTGTACCAAGTTATAGAAATTCGAGTTACACCCCAAATGATTAGAAATCGGCTACATGCAGCCCATTTGCATGCGCAATGACCGTGTGTTGTGCCCCCATTAACTCGCCAGCACATGGCAAACAGGCATAGACAGCGTAGAAATTGGGGTAATCGTCGATGGGCACGTGTGATGTTCTCAGATGAGTCCAGATTTACTCTGGATTTCACTAATAGGAGTGCTCGCGTTTGGAGGCTTGTAAATGAGCGTCATGCTAACGTTAACGTCAGACAGCATGACAGATTCGGGCGTGGGTTTGTTATGGCGTTGGGAGGAATCACCATGACCGGCAGTATGGACCTGCATATTGTTCAAGGAAAGTTGACTGGTGTGTACTACCGTGACCACATCCTGACACCGATAGTTCTGCCCTTTGCTCAACGTTCAGGTCAACATTTCATCTTTCAAGATGATAATGCTCGTGCCCACCATGCTCGTGTCGTGAATGACTACCTCCAGCTTCACCATATTGTCCATATGCCTTGGCCAGCCATGAGTCTGGGACATGATCGGGAGACGTGTTCGTTGACGTCAACGTCAACCGACAACACTGCAAGAATTGGCTTTGGCACTGCAAGAGTGGGTCAGATTGCTCCAAATCGTGATTGGACGGTTGATTAGGAGCATGCCATGATGAATTGCTGAATGTCTAAGGATTGGTGGAGCAATTACTCATTATTAAGACAAAAATCAAAAACATCTATTTTCACTTTTGACAGTGTATCTCTTTGCGAGTGAAATGGGGCCGTCAGATAAGCTGCCCATATGAACTGTTTATGTTCATGTGTAGGCAATTGGCCTGTTATTAACATACACTGGTTACCTCTAATAAAAACAGCAGTGCATTTCCACAGTTTTGTATTGTTTCTGAATATCCCCTACTTTTTTTGAAGAGTATATTATTCACCATATCTTGATGTTTGATTGGGCATATTCCTGGTTGGACAATTTTGGATGTTCGGAAAATAGCGTCATACATGTCTGGAATATACAGGCGAAATCCCATCACTGCTGTAGAGGTCACAATTTTTATCCGATTTTGATGAAACGTAAAACATATCTTTATATTCCAAAAATCTCAGTCCCTTTTGATATTTGCACATTTCAGACCATAACTTTCTGGATTATGGCCCCTGATTGTACAAAAGATCATTTTTGTTTTTAGCTTGTTCTCTATCCATCTCTTGCAAAATGTGGGCGTATCCTGCCTGGTAGCCGCTGATTATGAGATTTGGTTGATGTTTTATCTTGTTTTTATCAGCACTGTATTATTTCTGTCTTTTGATTTTTAATCTTTTTCAGTTTCTCCAAATTACAAGTACTTAAAAGAGACAAGTCTACTTAGAGCTGTTGTTGATTTTCTTCTTGAAGCTGGAAAATATGGTACAGTATATATTATTCTTTGAGGTCATTTGTTTCACACATAATTATAAAGTTCAACTGAGAAGAAGTATACAACATCTCCTGAAGAAATATTAACCTAAATTTAAAAACACAGAAATTACATGTAAATGTAGAGGATTTAAAGGAATCTTCCTTCTTTTCCTTAAAAAAAAAAACTTTAAAAGAGAAGTTCCAGTGTTCATTACATATGCAATATGCAAATCAAACTCCAGAATATGACAAATGGCCTGTTTATTGTGTCTGAAAGGTTCAGAACAAAATATTGAGCCCTTTGGAAATGATGGACAGAATAGCTTACAGGAAACATTACTATGCAATAATGGAATTTGTAAACTTTACCAAGAGGTAATTAAGACAATGGTGGAAAACAACATAAACAAGTTTATCTAGGTGCAAGGTGAATGGTCAGTCAAGAAGTTTATTCACTGAAAATGCATCACATTGCTACAGATAAAAGGTTCTAAAATCTTCCACACAAATGAACAGTTTTATTCTCTGAAATAATGTCCGGGATTTCTCCTTTAATTTGTTTTTACAATAATATATTTTTCTTGGTTGTCAATAGAATATTTACAAAATTTTGCCTTTAAAAACTTTGGAATGGATTTTCCAAGTTTGGTGTATTGAGAGATGGTTACTTCAAGTACATTAGTGTTTAAGGGGAGGGAAGTGCAATATTAGACTTACACAAGGAGCTCAGTTTACTCAAGTGTACAAGCGATATTATCAAGGCCAACTTGTTTTCTTCCTTCTTGTAACAAGAAACCTTTTCAAAGGTGTTTTGGCAAGTTTTAAATTGCACTTGGTGCTTATAGTATTCTAGTGCATCTAAAGGTTCATCTTAAAGGAAGAAATTGACACATACTACCATCACCAGGGTTTGCTTGTTTTTTGTTTTTTTTTGAATGGTCAGTTTGAGAAATAAAGGGCTGTTGCTGCCACATTAGTTTTAACTAATGCTGCTTATACATATAATTTATTATATATTCATCTTATATTTTACAGGCCCAGAAACGGTAACAAACCAACAGTTGAAGATTGCGTTGAGTTCTTTACAAGATGAAGTTTCACGTCTGCTTCCACCACTAAATTGGGTTGGAGTTCTCTCCCCTATTATGCGATTAGAATATGGTACAGTGGCATTTAGATTTAGATACATATAAAATAGAAATATTATTTTTTTCTTAGGGTACCATTGCCACCCCCCACAAAACATTGATTTGCTCTTTGTATCTATACATGTTAAAAATTGAAATATGGTAGCAGGAAAACAAGGAAATGTTCCTTAACAGTAAATATATAAAAGCACCCAAAACAAATTGTGCCGTAAAACAAATTGTACCGCAAAAATTATCTTATGATTTTGATTCAATAGGGTATTCAGCTAAACGAACAATAGTCTCTAAATTAGTCTAATTAGCATAAATTCAAGATGGCCACATATTTGAACTTTACACCCAAATAACGGCTAAACCGTTCACTGTAGGTCGGGAAAATATATTATGGACAGATAGAAACGGTCATTAGATGCTACTGGTCACTCCCTGTACACTAAAACTGCTCATGTATATACCTGCAAAGGGTGTACTACTTGGAAGATGAACATCCTAAAGTGTACCTGACTCCGGTCCTTCATTGATGACCATCATGTAGTCGGTCTGTCAGGTTGGTACTGGCGTGAAATACCTACTGATCAAGCCATTGAACAAACTTTTGAGAGAATTAAAAAATTGAATGGCAGTCTATCGTGAGGTACAGACTGGACAGAAATGCAGCAAAGACAGTCTTACTAATCACCGTCAGTAGCCTATTCTTTAATTATCTGGTATTTCTTAAACTGTTTAACAATGTAATCCACAAATTACAGTGAGATGCTAATTGGTCTGTATGTACTCCCTTGTATTGAATCTATTAAACTAGTACTCACAGAGTACGTATTATGATCCTTCTAATTGAGCTAGAATGTTCAGACTTGGTGTAGATGTTTATTAGGCAATGCCTTGATGGAGTTCGAAGATGAGCATTTTCTGCTTAGGGTAAGCTGAGATATTCAGTTTGATTGGTTGATGCTTTGGGACACGATAACTTTAATGCTAATTAACTGAGCATTTTCTGCTTAGGGTAAGCAGAGATAAGTAATTTGATTGGTTGATTCTTTAGGACATGATAACTTTAGTTCTAATTAAGTGAGAGTGATGAAACTTAGAGTTTTGTGTCATTACATCAATACCTTGACTAAGTTCGATAATGAGCATTTTCTGCTTGGGGTAAGCAGAGCGATTAGCAATTTGATTGGTCGAGACTTTGGAACATAATAACTCTCCTTCTAATTGAGGTAGAATGTTCAAAATTGGTGGGTAGAATGTTTAAAATTGGTGGGGGGCTAAATGTGTAAGACGCTGGAGGTCGGGTGTTCAATCCCAACATTGGCCGAGAAAGTTCATTAGGATTTTCAGACGTGGTATCTCCTAGTCAGTGTTGCAGGACGGAGTGCCAGACAAGGACAGCTGTCTAGTTGTTTGGATGGAATGGAAAACTGAGGTCCTGTGTATACATTGACATGCACGTAAAAGATCCCTTGGCAGTTGGAATTTGGTATAAGAGTAGGCCATAGTGCCACTGCCTGGGCAACATTTCCCTCATAGCACACTGTATGGTGTATGCCCGTCTTCACTAGCCCAGTTCGGAGCAGAACGGTAGGACGTTAAACCCTATTTCATTTCATTTCAAAATTGGTGTAGGTGTCTATTACGTGAATGCCTTGACATAGTTCGTTCATGCGCATTTTCTACTAAGGTTAAGCAGAGATGAGCAATTTGATTGGTTGAGACTTTGGAACATGATATCTTTGGATTTAATTGGATGAGAGCGATGAAACTGAGTATAGATTCATTATATCAATACATTGACTAAGTTCGATGATGAGAATTTTCTGCTTAGGCTTAGTAGCGATAAGCAATTTGATTGGTCAAGACTTTGGAACATTACACTTCTGTTATTTGAGGTATAGATGTTCATTAGGCGAATGACTGAGTTCAATGATTAATATTTCCCATTAAAGCTAAGCAGAGCTGAGCAATTTCTTTGGTCGATGCTTTGGGACAAGATAACTTTGATTCTAACTGATGGAGAGTGATGTAACTTAGTGTATAGTTTCACTCACTGCCAGGTAATTTAAGACCTGAGTTTGATAGTAAACATTTTATGCTCAGACTAAGCATAGATAATCAGTTTGATTACTGAATACTTTTGTAAAAGATAAATGTACAATTAATTAATATGTGTCATCTGGTGGGTTTTTTTTTTTATTTTGGCGGGAGACATCAGCCTCACTGTTGGCTTGTTTTTACTAGCCTGTAAATGGTTTTGTGTAGCATATTCCCATAATTGAATTTTTGGGTTTTAACTTTAATACCATATCACCCTTTCAATTTCGCCCTCACCATTTTACAAAAAACAATGAACAGCCTTAACAATTCATCTTAATCTCATTATAAATGATCAAAATACAGTAGCCAACTTTTAATACCAGATTTATTTTTTTTAATAGAAGCAAAAATAAAATATCTATGTCTGAAGCTAGCCATTTCACAGTGTATATCAGCTCCAACAGCATCAACATTTTTATCCTCATGGATGACTCCACCACTGTTTGAATCTTTACCTGTAAGTAGTTTTAGACGTCTTTCAGAAACTATTTCACCTGAATTCTTTGTAATAATTTAATAAATTTATTAACAAGCTTCATGAATTAAAGATGCTGTATTTGACATGGGCTGAGGAGAATGTTCAGTGTGTTTTATCCCTGTATACAATTGAAGACCAAATTATATTAAAACACTGAAAAGTACTTCCATCGTTCTTGTCTATATAGTTATGTTTTCTTTTAAATTATGCTAAATTTACACTTACAGATGCATTATGTAATGTTTAGATAAAGAGCTGACAGTTCTCACTATAATAGTTAAAAAATACATAATGAAAAGGGAATATGTGGAAAATTTCAGTCAAATTACTTCATTTTGATCAGAGTTATTGCCGTTAGAAGAACAGTGTAGTTTCAGTTGACATTGCTATACTATTGTTACGATAATAAACAAAGTCTTGATTGTCCATTTTTTAATTAAATTATTAACTAGCAAAAAATACTGATGCTCTAGAGCATTGCAAATGTGCTTGGCATGTGAATTAATGTCTCATTAATGATTTATATAACATTTGAGGCCAAACGAAAGATCTGCATTAGGAAGATTTAGCTCTAAAGCACAGCGTACATTGACACGGCAACTGGAAGTAACGCAACTGATTGGTTGCAGTCGATCTACGCATTCGGCGTACATCAACACAGAAAAACAAATGCTTCAGTAGATCATGTGACTTTTTCATGATTACCCAAGTTATCAGATTTTAGAAAATATCAATTTTGTCCATATGTGATAGTATTTTAACTATGATTAGAACCTTGCGTTAATTATCCCATAGAGGAAGATCTCACAATAGGGCCTATATATACATATATGTAGCCTTTGTAAGAAAATAGTTTTTCTTTCTTTTTTTTAATCATGATTAAATCTACACCAATATGTTGTTGGAGCATACATCAGCTCTGAGTACAACTAGTTGCCTCTACTAGCAGCAACTGGTTGAAACTGTTTGTTTTCCAGTTGCAAGCGCGTACATGAACACAAACTGGCAACTGATCGTTTCCTCTCAGTTGCTACCAGTTGCTGGCAACCATTTGTCTCCAGATAATGCATCTGTTAAAAACTTATGATTATGTTAAAACTGATAATTATGATTCACAACAGAAGAGAGACCCTTCCCTCTACAAAGGGAACCTGGGGTATATAGACAGTTGTTGTACTATATATATGTACCTATTATTATTGATTTCAGGATGAATGTAAGGTTTTACTGTACACATCTTTACCATTAATGATAAAATCATTAGCAGTATCAGTTGTGAAGACATTTGTTGAGAAATGTTGTATGTTACCATTTAATACAAGTGGTAATATACCTTTTGGTGTGGCTGTATTAGATGGTATGAATAAAGCTCTGTTAGTACAAGACCCTCCGAAATCTGTAACATCTATATTATATGATGCCACGTGTAGATTTTATAAAAACCTGCCAGAGATTATACATGTAAGATTTTTTATATTTCAACATATACTGCCATTCTGGTGGTTGTTTCTGTTCAATTTGACTAACCATTTTCTCGGTTCAAATTAAATTGAGTGCAAAATTTGAGACCAATCTGTCAAACCATTTCTGAGATCCAATTATTTTAGTTTTCAGATTACAAGTAAAAAGCGACTAGATTTTTAGACCATTGGGTCTTTATTGCTTGGCTGGCATTAACAATCGGTCAACTTCGACTTCTTCTCCTAAACCAATATATGGAAATTTGGTAGCTATGTTGCCAGGGTGCTTTTATTCAGATTTGTTCAAATGACGTACATTTTGTAGGTATATTAAAGTTTGGCATCTTCCATTAAACATCTTACAGGGAGCCTTTTCTCTTCCAATTTATTGCACGCAATGACGACATGAATAATGGTCAGAATGTGGCCGCATTTGCACTTCACTGGTTTATATTTATGGTCGTAATTAAGTCTGTAGTTTTGCGCGATGGGTGATTGATCTCCGTCTTCGTTTTCACAGACGCTGAGTCCTTAGCGAGCCAGATTGTCCGCAGACTCATTGCATACTATGCCAACATGGGATGGTATCGATGTAAATTCTAAGGTTTTATTTTTGTTTCGGAGGGAACAAACACTTGCTCGAATATTCTGAACGATTTCTGACTTTAAGGGAGTCTGACACAATGACTGCTCTTTGAACAGCGGATGACACAAGCCACTCAAGAGCTGTGGATATTGCCTTTAATTCTGAGGTATAGATGGAACATCCATCTGGTAACCTTTTTAATTGCCCACATTTTCATGTGGACGTATATTGTCATCGCCCCTGTCCGTCCGTCCATCAGTCCGTCCACAATTGTTTGTGAACAGTCTACAGGTCACAATTTTTATCCGATTTCAATAAAACTTGAAATATAGGTTTATCACCCTAAGATCTCGGTTCCTTTCGATATTGGCATGTATCAGACTGTAACTTCATGGATTATGGCCCCTGATTGTAGGAAAAATCACGTTTTTGGCTTGTGAACACTGTAGAGGTCACAATTTTTATCCGATTTTGTTGAAACTTGAAATGTAAGTTTATAACCCAAAGATCTAGGTTCCTTTAGATATTGGCGCATATTTGACCGTAGCTTCATGGATTATGGCCCCTGATTGTACGCAAAAACGCGTTTTTAGGCTTGTGGACCCTATAGAGGTCATAATTTTTATCCGATTTAAAAAACCGTGATAATAAATCACCGTTACACCCTAAGGACGGTTGAGTTCGAATTTCGTGAAAATGGGCCCAAAACTGACAGACAAAATGGCCGCCCTTCGTTCTCAAATAGCGTAAAAATATGGTATATCAAGTTGTCGACCCAATAGAGGTCACAATTTTTATCCGATTTCGTTGAAACTTGAAATGTAAGTTTAAAACACAAAGATCTAGGTTCCTTGCGATATTCGCGCATATCGAATTGTAATTTCCTGAATTATGGCCCTTGATTGTAGGAAAAATCACTTCCATTTTAGCTTGTTTTCTATCCATCTCTCGAAAATGTGGGCGTATCCTGCCTGGCAGCCGCTGGTTGATATATTAACATTGAATTCAGGAATGACTACACCTAATGCAATTTGGGTTGTTTTTGGATCGTGAGATCTGTCAGTGTATATTTTTACATGAGAGGACCATTTTTCGTTCAAGTATTCCCTCGATAGCATTTGAGCGTGTTGTGAATTTTTTTCTTAACAACATTACTTAGGCTTATGTCATATTTTGGATTTAATAAAGCCCATGGGGCTTGATACGAAAATACCTTCAGTAATCTGATAGTGATCTAATCTTGGGTCTTTTAATAGATCATTTGTTCTGTGATCGAATGGTCGCGTCTCTGATTTAACATTTCTTTTGAATTTTTTCCTTGATGCTTTTGTGTTGGACAGCTGTCCCTAAGATATTGTATCTTAGCCCAGTATCTCAATGTTAGTTCGTTGCGCCTCAATTCGAAAGACATTTCACCTACTTCTTGCAATAGATTTTCCCGTTTTGTGCCAAATGAAGCTTTTGTTGCTATCTTTATTGCCTGATATTGTAAACTGTCTAGTTTAGAAAGAGCTGTTTTATTTGCACTCGCAAAAGCAACACAGCCATTGTCACATATTGATCTTATCATTGACTTATATATCATTAGCAGGGTGGTTTTATTTGCTCCCCAGGATATGCTCGTCAGGCATCTCATTATGTTCAGAACTTTCTGTCCTCGTTTAACAATATTTTCAATATGTGGTATAAAAGTCATTTTGCGATCAAAGGTCCCCCCTAGAAGCTTTGCCTGATCTTTAAATTCAATTTGGATATTATTCAATTCCAGTTTCATATAGACCACACTTCCCTATGATCCCTACCGAAAAGCATAACCTATTTTCAGATATTCAAAATCCCCAGTCATTAGACCATTTCAACAATTTGTCTAAGGCTTCTTGCATTCTCGTTCTTACTGTACCATAGTTATTTACTGCATGTCAGATTGAACTGTTGTCTGCATACACCTCTACATTAACTTGTATTTGCCTATTCTTTAGAAAATCCTCGATCCAGTGGAATATTCGTCCTGTTACCCCTAGTTCATGTACTTTTTTAAGTAGGCCATCTAGCCAAACTAAATCAAATGCCTTGGTCAGGTCCACGAATACTGCACATGGATAATTGTTCTTTTTAGACAATGAAGTCATGATGTCATGTTGTAACCTTACAATATAGTGGAGCTGTCTATATCCACTTTGATTTGGACTAATTAATCCATTACTTTCACAATAATATCTTAGCCTATTATTTACCAGTCTAATGTTTTGCATAATGTAGAGGTCAAACTTATCGGTCTGTAAGAACCTGTTTCAATTTTATCTTATTTAATACAAAATTGTGAGGCCAATATGTGGTGTCTAGTATTTATATTACTGTACAATAGGAGATAACTCCATTCTAGTTGTATATCATTGATCATGTGACATGTATGAGTTTTAGAAAGTTGGCGTGTATCAACCATGTTGTATGCTTGGTCATGAATGATGAATAAAATCCATCTTTATCTACAAAACAGTATTGTGTTCATTTCATCCACACTACATAATATATACAGAAAAACTATAACAACAATTCATGAAACCATACAGGACAACAACAAGATCAAAGGAAATGAAATGGGGTTTAACGTCCTACTGTTGTGCTCCGATCTGGGCTAATGAAGACGGGCATACGCCATACAGTGTGTTATAAGGGAAATTTTGCCTGGAGAGCGGCACTACGGCCTGCTCTTATATCGAATTCCAACTGTCAAGGGATCTTTTACATGCACGCCAATGTGTACACAGGACCTCCGTTTTTCGTCCCATCCGAAAGACTAGACAGCTGTCCTTGTCCGGCCCTCCGTCCTGCATCACTGACAAGGGAGAACCAGGCCGAAAAAATCTGGATGAACTTTCACAGCCAATGCCACGATCGAACACCCAACCTCCCAAGATCAAAGGGGATATTATTCAAAAACTAATTTAATAGGGATAAGTGAAGCCATTAAGTTAACTTAAGCAATTAAGTTATGATGATAGATACAAGACTACCAAGAAAATGGAATAGGAATTACAATACAATTTACATGATATACAATAGTATGTTAACATAATGGTAATTAACTAAAACAACTTTCATATTTGTAGTTATTAATATATACTATTCAAAAAAAGTAGGGGATATTCAGAAACAATACAAAACTGAGGAAATGCACTGCTGTCTTTATTAGAGGTAACCAGTGTATGTTAATAACAGGCCAATTGTCTACACATGAACATAAACAGTTCATATGGGCGGCTTATCTGACGGCCCCATTTCACTCGCAAAGAGATACACTGTCAAAAGTGAAAATGGACGTTTTTGATTTTTGTCTTAATAATCAGTAATTGCTCCACCAATCCTCAGACATTCAGCAATTCATCGTGGTATGCTCCTTAATCAACCGTCCAATCAGGATTTGGGGCAATCTGACCCACTCCTCTTGCAGTGCCACGGCCAATTCTTGCAGTGTTGTCAGTTGACGTTGATGTCGACAAACACGTCTCCCGATCAAATTAAATGTAACACACTAATACAAAGATACGCTAAACAGTAAATCTTATGCAAGAACCGATAGGAAAGCAAACATGGATAGATAAACCAGCACGTGGCAGTTTTCATCAACCTTTCCTTGAAGTGTCAAATTTGACAATGAACCACTCACACGTGTATGGCGTTACTGCGTGTCGCATGTGCAGCTCAGTGGTTCTGTTGGGGCGGTAAGATCTTCATCTGTGAACATATTCTCAAAGCATGTCAAATGTCCATGGCTCTTTATCATATCGCAACCTGCATAGGTATTTGCATTTCTATATCCCCTACTTTTTTTGAAGAGTATATAATAAGACTAAAATAAACCATGTTGAAGTTGATATAATAATTATGATAACAATGATAATAATACTGGGCTACTGTGGGCATGTTTTGGTGCCTGGCAACCCTTCTTTCCTGAAATGAGTATATTGTTTTATTTCAGGTACCATTATTATCAAACATGGCTAAATGTTTTTTAAGTATCCCAGATGATTTGTTTGATACATGGACTCAAGATGATCTATACAACCAGAAGACTTTTGTAAAAGGAGTTTTTATTCGTTGTCAACTTGTAGCATTTGGAAGACAACCAATAGCTATTCTAAATAGCTGTTTAGATGCTACAATAAATAATAAAGAATGGTATGATTATTTTCATATTAAATGTTGATAATTGGTGAATGTAATATTACATAACACATGTATATCATTTTTCCCAATGATTTTTGTTCCCCGCCTTTGGAAGAAAGCAGGGGATTATTAAAATGGGTTTGTCCGTCCGTCCATCTGTCCGTCACATATTTTGGGACACAATAACTCTCCTTCTAATTGAGCTAACTTGGTGTAGGTGTTTATTAGGTCAATGCCTTGATGGAGTTCGAAGATGAGCATTTTCTGCTTAGGGTAAGCAGAGATAAGCAATTTGATTGGTTGATGCTTTGGGACACGATAACTTTAGTTCTAATTAAGTTTGACGATGAGCATTTTCTACTTAGGGTAAGCAGAGATAAGCAATTTGATTGGTTGATGCTTTGGGACACGATAACTTTAGTTCTAATTAAGTGAGAGTGATGAAACTTGGTGTATAGTTTCATTACATCAATACCTTGACTAAGTTCGATAACAAGCATTTTCTGCTCAGGGTAAGCAGAGCGATAAGCAATTTGATTGGCCGAGACTTTAAAACACAATAACTCTCCTTCTAATTGAGGTAGAATGTTCAAAGTTTGTGTAGGTGTTTATTAGGTCAATGCCTTGATGGTGTTTGAAGATGAGCTTTTCTGCGTAGGGTAAGAAGAGATAAGTAATTTGATTGGTTGATTCTTTTGGACACGAATAGTTCTAATTAAGTGAGAGTGATGAAATTTGGTGTATAGTTTTATTACATCAATACCTTGACTAAGTTCGAAAATGAGCATTTTCTGCTCAGGGTAAGCAGAGCGATAACCAATTTGATTGTTTGAGACTTTGGAACACAAAAACTGTCATTCTAATTGAGCTAGAATGTTCACACATGTCTGTAGAAGTTTATTAGGTGAATGCCTTGGTTGAATTCGAAGATGAGAATTTTCTGCCTTGGGTAAGTAGAGATAAGCAATTTGATTGGTTGATGCTTTGGGACACGATAACTTTAGTTCTAATTTAGTGAGAGTGAGGACACTTGGTGTATAGTTTTATCACATCAATACCTTGACAAAGTTCGATAATGAGCACTTTCTGCTCAGGGTAAGCAGAGCAATAAGCAATTTTTTGGGCTGAGACTTTGGAACACAGTAACTCTCCTACTAATTGAGGTAGAATGTTCAAACATGGTGTTGGCATTCATTAGGTGAATGCTTTGATCTAGTTCGATGATAAACATTGTCTGCTTACGGTAAGCAGAGATAAGCAATCTGATTGGTTGATGCTTTGGGGTACGATAACTTTGGTTATAATCAAGTGAGAGTGACGAAACTCCAAGTATAGATTCATTATATTATTACCTTGACTAAGTTCGATGGTGAGAATTTTCTGCTTAGGCTAAGAAGAGATAAGCAATTTGATTGGTCAAGACTTTGGAACATAACAACTCTGCTTTTAATTGAGGTAGAATGTTTAAACTTGATGTAGATGTTCATTGGGTGAATGTCTTGACTGAGTTCAATGATTAACATTTCGAGCTAAAGCTAAGCAGAGCTAAGCAATTTCATTGGCCAATGCTTTAGGACAAGATAACTTTGATTCTATCTGATAGTTGATAATCAGTTTGATTGCGTGATACTTTTGAAAAAAATAAATGTGCGATGAATTAAAATGTGTCATTTGTTTTCTGGATAAAGACAAGTTGATACAACACTCAGTAATAAACAGCAATTGTAGTCTATAGAATTGTCTCCTGTGTATTTTCCTCTAGTGTCATCATGTTTCCTCAATTTGAAAGAATTCAGTTGAGGATAGCACACAAAGTATTTCATTAGCTTATACTCAAGTTTCTGATGGTTTTGAATTATTAATGAAGATCTGCTATAAGCTTCTCATAACTTAAATATTAGAATGCCTTTGAAAAAGTAACATTTATGGCCATGATAATAGACAGTAAAGAAAGGTACCTCTAATCCTTTCTATTACATATTTTGAACCAACACATGGATTTTATCAGAAGGTAAGGGATTTCAGAAACACAAATTTTGTATGCTATTAAGAATAAAGTATACCTATATTTACAATCTCAAATTAACAGACTTGAGGTATGGAGTATTGAAAATGATGAAAGATGGAACCGGACAGTTATTATATTGAATACAGTAACTGCTACATTAGAGTATAATGTATGATATATATATTTTCAGTGATCGAACTGTGATATTCAATATTGTCAGTCATTGTTTCTATTCTGTTAACTTATGTAAATCAGAGTTAACTGGTCCTATGAATCAATTACAATGGTTACTGGAACTGCTTGGTCATATTAGAAATTTAGCAATAGGAGTTATTAAATTAGAAAATACAGCACCACCATTAAAACAGGTGAGAATTGTTAATAAGATAGATCAGACTAATTTCATTACATAAAACCAGACAAAAGGCTATCATATAAAACAGGCATACCAACATTCATAAACTATGAACATGACTAGAAGATAATCAGTGGTTGTGTATTTAAAATGTATATTGAACTTGTTAAACTAAGTAACACATCATAATATACATGATGTATATTATTGAGGATGCACATTGTACTTACATACCTTGGAATTTTCAAACATCAATCCAGAGAGTTTGTGCATAGGGGAGAAATTAGTCAAATTCTGTGTGTTTTTGTTTCCATTGATGTGTAAAATCATCATTTTTATGTTTATTCGGTCTTAAAAGAGTTATATGCTTGAAAAATCTCAGAAATAACTTGAATGTAGATTTTATTCAAATGTTCTTATTTTCTAGAATATGTGTACTAGACTATAGAATTATTTCTATTTTTGTAGGCTGTGGAGTTTATTATAGGTATAGCCTCTGCTGCTATATCTTTGTGGACAAGCTGTACAACTAGTTATATGATTGGTATTAAAGCTAATCTGTTATTATATGATGATAATCTTACTATAGATAATGATGTAGATATAGATGTTATATCTTTATCTAGATGTTTACAATGTTTACCTATAGTAATCTCTCATCTTAAAACTGAACCCTGGCTTCAAATACTACCTAAGGTTAAGTCATTTTATCATTAATGATTGACATAATATTATACTTTCATAAAACCTATCCTTATTTTAAAGATGCCTTCCTGTGTACAAACTGGGTGATTTGATGATATATTTGGACTAAAAACATATTCAAACTAATTAATCTATCAAAAATTTGCTTCAAATAAATCTCAAAACATCGTATTCGCAAGGAAATACACCAAGATGTAAAAAATCTATTTTTAGAAGCCATGTTTGTCACATAACTTGATGGAAGGGAGGGGGGGAGTCCATTTTCAGAATGTATTTGTTGTTACTTACTGTCCATTTACCATACATATTGAAGCCTAAGTAAATTGTTCTGCCAACTTCTTTTCCTGCCGTTCGGTTACAGAGTCTATTGTACATTTAAATCTCTCAATGTTCCTAAAACTGCCTAACCATTTGATCAAGAAGTAACAACCACTCCCTATGTCAAGCTGGCAGACAATAAGCCAATGGGCTGACAGTTAGTGACATTTTTGCCCAGTGCTTGCCCCATGGGTATTTTTCAGGGAATCCAGTATTTATCTAGTAAGTTTGGACATCTCTACTTTCCATATTTACTAAATTTGCCATACTTTTATTGGAAATAACTACCCTTTAAATACTTAATTGAGAATGTATCTTTAAAGACAAAACAAAGATGTCAAATAGTCTAGTTCCTAGAAATGAAATGGGGTTGAACTTCCTACATTTCTGCACCAAATGGGCTGATGAAGATGAGCATATGCCATGCATTATGTTCTGAGTGAAATTTGGCCCAGAGAGTGGTGCTATGTCCTACTCTTATTTCGAATTCCAACTGTCACTGGTTATTTTATGAGTTCATCAACGTGTACATTGGACTTTGTACACTAGACACTATTCCTTGCTAATAACAATATAGTAAAAATCCGAACTGTGCTCATAAATAATTTGTATTTTTTTAATTCTCCAATTTTCTGATACACAGGCAAGTAATAATTTAGAAAAATAGAATAGAGAAATAATAGACTTAGTGAAGATAAACTTGTTGTATTTAGAATATTATTTATATCAATTGATTTCTATAGGTGATTGACTGGATGATGACCATGATCCAACTTCCAGAAGAAACTCTATCAACACAAGTAAAACAGACATTAAAAGGTAAGCCATACTGAAGTATAAACTTGAAAATTTGTACAACCTTTCCCATCTGTACATCATCCCCACAACTATGATCACTCTACAACTACATAATATGTTATTCAGTTGTTGTTTTTTTAACAACTTATATTTTAAACATCAGATGGAAGAAGTTAAGGACAGTTCTTCATTGTAACATCTTGTTACTTTTATTTGTTTTTCTTTTAATTGTAAATTTGTCTATGGTTATTTAATTGTTAGACAATTATTATGTTATATAACAATAAATCAGAACATGCTATATATTTTCAGATTCTTTGTACAGCTTAAGAGATAGTGAAGAATTTAAAAAAGCTTCTGTATGGACAAATGTTTTTACAGTTTAGATGAAGAAGTGCTGATTTTAATATAATAAATGATGTCAAACTGTCATAGTCATTCAAAGTGAAGATAAGAGCAAGATTTGAACCAAAATCTACCCCAACATAGACTGAATTTTTCAAGTCTGAAATACTGAGATATTAATTAGTGCTTAACACAAGGTACCAAATGACATAGTCAAAGTATCCTGATCGAAGTGTAACTGTGTATTCATAAAAATGTAACATATTAAAATATTTTCAGTTACTAAATGCCTACCGAAAAAGTTATTGATTTCTTATCATAGACGTACTGGACCCTGTATTATAAGGGGGGAATGTAAAAAAGTAAAAAAAAAAATAGTACTTTTGCCCGAGAAACAAATCTCCTAATACTGCTCGAAAACATTGAATATTGTCTGATATATTGCATCAATGGACAGCCCCCTTGATTCCCTGTCTGGTTCTTAAACTTCTTATATAGGTCAATGTTTGATCAGATGTAGCGCTTTAATGATCAAAAATTTCAAGAACAGGGCTATAAGAAATTCACTTAAATAGTTTTGGTAACCAGAGAGTTTTGGAAAAATTGTATATTTTTGGTGAAAAAAACATTTTACCACACCTTAAAGTGAAGACTGCTACCTTGATTACTATGCTTTATTAATAAATAAATAACATTACATGATTGGTCCGAGTGGTAATTTTTCTGGTCCAAGTGGTCTATTATTGGTCCGAGTGGTCTTTGGTCCGAGTTGTCTGGATACCCTTGCCATCATCTTGTTGCGTGTGAACAGTAAATAAAAATCCTTTGCAAAGAATGGTAAGAGCTTCAACTATGGTTAGCAACCAGACCACAATATTAGGAACCGTCACAGATATGAAATTCTCAGAATGGTAAGAGCTTCAACTAGAACTATGGTTAGCAACCAGACCACAATATTAGGAACCGTCACATATATCAAATTCTCAGACAAATGACAGGCCCTGAATAGGTCCAAGAGCTAGCTGAATATATTCACATTCAATTAATTCAATAAAGCTCTGTAGGATTGAGAACAGTTTGCTGTGATTGCAGTGTGTTAGCAATGGTATCAAACTGGCCGTCAAACAAGTAGAAATATTTTGTTACCGTATCAGTTTTGTCCTGTACATTGTTCATATCCGAATACAGCAATTTTCTTTTGAACATTAAAAGTTTATAAAAAAAGAGGATACAAATCAATTTTCGAAGTCAGATTTTACAGGCAATCCACGATGATGAAATAGATTTCACTGAGTACGAATTAAACATCAAAATAGCGAGAATAGCTTAACTGAAAGTTTGACCTCCAAATATTGAGCCGTAAGGAAATGATCGACCCGTTTTATACGTAAAATGAAATAGGGTTTAACGTCCTGAATAAAAGTAACGAATAAGGGTTTTACGTTGAACACAAGTGATAAATCTGTCATCTCATCAATTCGGCAATGGAAGGCAACAGACCAAACTGTCACAAACCCAAATCCTCGTCACTGCAAGAAATTAATATACAAATATATGGGTATTTTAGAAAGTACAGAAACCAAAATTATTTTAATTTATGATTAATCTCAGTATTCAGCTTGGTATAAATAATCACCGAAAGAAACTGACAATGAAAGATATGTTATAGATATGTATATACTACACACACATCATGTCTAAAATTTAAATGATTTTATAAATAAATGACAAAACTAAGGATAAATGACATTTTGACAATGTGTCATAATACCGACAATATTACTCTGGATAAACAATGTATAAAACCCACGGACAAGATTAATGTGTAATAGATATGTCACTTAACTTTTATAAGAAAAACCAATAAATGAAATTGGTTTAACATCCTACTTTCTTGACCAACTAGGAAATTTGCCCTGACAGCGGCTTTTTAGTCTACTCATATCAATGGTTCTATAACCTGAACGCCAACGGTTTCCGTCCTACACTATATTATACCGACAAGAGGAAACCACGTTAATAAATCCGGAGGTAATTAATTGTCCCCGCCTTTCGAAGAAAGCAGGGAACTATTAAAATGGGTTCGTCCGCCTGCCTGTCCGTCCGTCTGTATGTATGTCAGTCACACTTTTTGGGACACAATAACTCTCTTTCTAATTGAGCTAGAATGTTCAAACTTGGAAAAGGTGTTTATTAGGTCAATGTCTTGATGGAGCTCGAAGATGAGCATTTTCTGCTTAGGGTAAGCAGAGATAAGCAAATTGATTGATTTATGCTTTGGGACACGATAGCTTTGGTTCTAACTGAGTGAGAGTGACGAAACTTGGTGTATATTTTCATTACATCAATACCTTGACTAAGTTCGATAATGAGCATTTTCTGCTCAGGGTAAGCAGAGCGATAAGCAATTTGATTGGCCGAGACTTTGGAACACAATAACTTTCCTTGTAATTGAGCTAGAATGTTCAAACTTGGTGTAGGCGTTAATTAGGTGAATTCCTTGATGGGGTTCGATGATGAACATTGTCTGCTTACGGTAAGCAGAGATAAGCAATCTGATTGGTTGATGCTTTGGGGCACGAATATTTAGTTTTAATTAAGTGAGAGTGATGAAATGCCGAGTATAGATTCATTATATCATTAACTTGACTTAAGTTCGATGATGAGAATTTTCTGCTTAGACAAAGGAGCGATAAGCAATTTGATTGGTCAAGACTTTGAAACATAACAACTCTGCTTTTAATTTATGTAGAATGTTTAAACTTGATGTAGATGTTCATTAGGTGAATGTCTTGACTGAGTTCAATGATTAACATTTCGAGCTAAAGCTAAGCAGAGCTAAGCAATTTCATTGGCCAATGCTTTAGGACAAGATAACTTTGATTCTATCTGATAGAGACTGATGAAACTTGGTGTATAGTTGATAATCAGTTTGATTGCTTGATACTTATTTTGAAAAAAATAAATGTGCTATTAATTAATATGTGTCATCTATTTATTTTGGGATTTCGGCGGGGGACATAGCCTCGCTGTTCATGGCTTGTTTTTTTCCTGCCATGATATCAGTCACAAACAAAATGAAATTAGCGGCACAAAAAAATATATGCTACTTTATTTCAAATGTACCGTCTCCTTCAGCCCAGTCGGTGCAGAAAGATAGGACGTTAAACTCCATTTCATTTCAATGAAATGTATTCATCAATCTTGAATCATTCGTCACAAATCGTATTGTCTCAGTAATCATTAAAAGTATTAGGCTATTACTAAATGCTAAATTAATATATTTATTTACCATTAACCATGAAAATTTACAACAATATACATTCTCGTTAAGGTGGGTAGTGTCTTCTTAAGTTTAGGACCCTAAAGAGGGAGAAATGAGAACTAACACTAATAGATCATTGGATTGTGTACTAGACTTATAATACACATAAACCAGTTGATTGTATATTACAATTGCAATAGAGGTCGGTTAGGCCCTAAAATTAACTAAATTACATAACTTAGAGGTTCTACCAATCAATAGGTCCTAACCAGTTCCGGGGACCCGATCCCGCGATGTGATTGCTGGGGCCCAACCAGTCCCGGGAAATTAACGTAATCATAGTAGTTCAGACAAATGTATAATCTGAACATGTTTCCTGCCTAAATTTTACGTCTTTTTTCTCCTTGTCTTTTGTTTGGGATTTTATGTCTTGATTTGACCTATGCTCAGTTAGAAAATTGGTTGAATTCTCTTAACTGTTGATAGTTTCGTGCGTATCGTCAAAAAATACATGGGAAATGGGCTAGGGATCTCGATATTGACAGCATCATCTCCACTCTCCTCAAGTCGCGAAGGAAGTCTTTGTAAATAACGTTCACAGAGGCTTCCCTTGCAAATTTAGGCCTTGTGCTATGGTGTGTTAACTGTTCCTGTTAGAAGTTTCCTCCTAAAACTCTTTACTGACATTTATTGCTGATCGGAGTATAATGTTTTATGTCACCTAAAATAATTTCAGTAAAATAAAGTAAATGAAAACATCATAAGAGAAAGAGTCTATTTAAAATACTCAAATTGTCAACGAATTCTAAACGTCAATGAAATCGCTGTCTAAATTGTCTCAGATGCACTGAAATGAATTCTAATTTAAAAAAAAAATCCTGGAAGAAAACACCCGGGCTCTCAAGGGGGCGGAGTACATACTAGTGCGATCCGCGGTCAGTAAGAACAATTTGAACAAACAACAATGGGGCCCCCACACAGTTGGTATGTCCCGAGCCCCCACAAGATTAATCCGGCACTGCCTGTAATTTGTGCTCTTAGTCCTGTGATACATAAGTTTTTACATTACCGGTTCTATTCTCTTCCATGGTCTACGAAATTTTGTTATTTTGTTGAATTTAGGAACCATATTGGCGTTTCGTTCGGTCATGGCACATTTGGCCATTCAGATATGAATTCGGCGAATCCGAAAACCTATAGTTTGATACATTACTAATATGACCATCATTTTGAATAAGAGCTCAACCTGGAATACGTTTTCGTCGGAACATGTTTTTATGTTTATATCTGAAGTAACTGACACCAATAATAACCTATAGCTTAATATATCGCACAGCTGGGGAGTTTCGCCGCAAAATGAACCTCCATTTGGAGAGAGAGAGAGAGTTTAACGTCAATTCGACACAAACTAGGTCATATCGGGACAAACACATGGTTCAATTTTATTTCAAGTCATTAACATATACATTGAAAAGCGTGGGACTAAGTACACATCCCTGTTTGACCCCTCGCACCGAATGTATTTTGTCGGAAAGACATCCATTATTATTTTTAATTATATATGACGTGTTACCATACATGGAGGTTATTATAGTGACATGCTGAGGTTTGATGATAGATATGACCCCACCCCACCCCACCCACCCCACCCAATTCTTAAGTATAAGAGAGAAAGAGAGAGAGAAATGGGGTTTAACGTCCGCTCGACACAAACTAGGTCATTTCGGGACTAACATTGTTCAATTTTATTTCCATAATTCGCTTGCGCGTAGGGGTCTTTAGCAGTGGGAGGAAACCGGAGGACCTGGGGAAAACCCACGAGGTTGTCAATGTTTCCAAGGCCAAATGCATAGTGAAGGGAAGTTGAATATACTTTGATAGCATTGAACGGGTTCTATATCGTTTCTGTCACACTGAAACTGTTGTGTAATTTCTGGCGGTTATTTTGAAATTCCCTAGCATTACGGAAATACTTGAAGGCTTGTCGACGTTGATGAGAATAAAAGGTCATCTACAAAAGTGGGTGGGAAATGTTAGTATGATTTATCAATGGGGCATCTTTAATGTTGACATCTTCATTATTGAGTTAATGTTGTGAGAATAGAGTTGGGCTGGGCACATATTATATCCTTGATTTATTCCCAGAAAAGCGCTGATCTTATGTCCGCACAAGACCTGAGTTAGTTTTGATCACATACGCTGTTGATGCATACATATATAATATATTACTTTAAAAATATTTTCATTTATATCTTGCTTTAGCATTTTCAAGAAAAGTGCCTAATGGAACGCCTTATAAAAATCAACGAAGCACATGAAAAAGTTTTGTTTTATAGACTTATTACAGTTTTCAAAATAAAAATATATCGCCACTTCCCATGTGCCTAAATAATATACATGGGACATCATGCAATAGTTTCAATATATCTCTG